GCCCTGTCCAAGATCATTCGTTATATCGACTATCCTCGCACCTTGAGCTGCTGAAGCTGTGCATAATACTAACGATTGACATCGAGCCTTACGGCCCCCTCATGGCATGATCAAACAAGAAAAGTAGGATACATAGACAGAAAGACTATACGAATATATCCCAGTCATCGCCATCGTCTACATAAGCATTTATGGAATTCGTGATACCAACGTGGCATTGTTCAGATCAGCTAAATCACCAGTCCAGTGACTGTGAAAGCTAAATACCCTATACTGCATCTCACCAGGGAGATTTCTGGCTCGGGATGTTGGCTCTTCGTACCTTGCCTCGTTCTTCTTTCGGATTTTCTTTCTTTCTTCTACTTCATTGATGTAATCGTACATGTCAAAAGACGATCGAGGCATTATACGAGGTGGGTCACACAATTCTGGACGCATAGTTCCTGAATGCAATATTACGTTGATGACTAGACGTTTTTTTATTTGCCACCTGTATGAGATCGTATGCGTAATGTCGACGGGTATGTTAGTATGTATGTACATACAATAACCTAGATACTGCTCAAACTCGTGCCGCCAAGCTTAGTACCGTGAACGCCTCTCTCTCGATAGAGACTAGGGACGTATAGACTTAGCTGATGATCATAATTGATTGCCGTATGGTCACCGGAAGGATCGTCTGCAAGCTCTTCAACACGCGGCGGCGGGGAAATCGGATGGCCGTTTCCGCGTCATGTGCTGACGTGAGGCATTTGGGGCTTCTGAAACTCGGATGTTCTTCACTCGTGGACAGAGAGAGGCGAGGTTGGTTGGTTCCTTTTTGTTTGTTTTCAGTTAATCTTATTTCCGTATCAACGGTTTTCTTTCTTTCCTTTTTTTTTTTTGATTTTTTTTTGACTTATTGCTTTAAGGATACCCGGCATGTTGTCATATAGAGGGATGTACACGATTTTCTTGTTGGGGGAGAGAACTCTCTCCGTTGAGGGGGAAGCTCCGCGTCCGGCTCTCGTCGGAACTACGATACGATGTATTACTATGTATTATGTGCGAGGATACTCGATACGAAGCAAGCTAAGGGCATCTCTCAACATATCCAGGGATCTCCAAACTAGAAACAGGAAATGGTTGAGACTATTAATATGCTCTCTCACTCTTTCAGTTATGTTGCCCATCTGCAGTGTGCTCGAGTAACGTCATTCTCCTCGGGGAGGAAGGGGGGGAAGGATTTGAGGTTGGTCCCATACCGTTACAGAAGATGCGTGGACTGTATATGGTGATACATCCTTGGAAATATTGATCCTCTCCCTCTCTTGACGATCAACGGTAAGTGTTTGCGGGTATACGAGTATAGAAGCAAGGGCAGTATCATGGTAGTACATGGCATGTGGAGGTGTAATAGTAGGTATCGATGCTGAATGTTAATGGTAAAGGTGGTGGAAAGTATCGTTTCCTCGAAGCGTATCACATATTTCCACACACCAAGCACGGTGATTTTTATTTAATTTTCTTCTACCCTCCCTTCCTCTTGCCGGGTTTCTCTTGGTAAACAAGGAACATGTCAATGGGTGGCTTGCGAGGCGAGTCGGCGACTTGGATCCTCCCCCCCCCCCCTCCCAATCATCCCATTCGATGTAAAAGCACGTTGATTGTGGTGTTTCCTTTTTGTGTCGGAAGGGGCGGGGAAGCCGATACCGCAACGACCGACAGGACCAAAATCTGCGGTATGTGAGTGTGTTTTCAGGCGACAAATGCGGGTTAAGTCGTGTTTCTTCTTCGCTTTCTCACTTAGAGAATCTCTACCAACGTTGTCGTGCATGACATTTTTCTTCTTGTTCGAAATTATACTCCGGTACATGTCGTCCCCTCCCTTCGACCTCTTTGAAGGGGAGAAAGAAGAGAGGAACCCATCTTTCAATATTTTTATAGTCTCTGGTGCTCGACTCGATTGGTTGGCGACTCCGTGATGCGGGCGCAACAGAGAGAAAATCGAGATTGCTTTTCGAGATTGGCTGCCAACATACATGATGTAGCAGGCATATGCATGCAGGCAGGCAGCTCGCTTTCCTCCTTCTTTTCTTTCAGTATACTTGTCTCCTTCACGAACATGTGGCACGAGACGCTAAGGAGCAAAACAAGGTACATGCATGTCACAAGCACAAGTAGTATTTTACTGTCATAGCAACATGCTCGAGAAAGGTGTGCGACCTTCGGAACAGCGGCCCTAATACGGTAGGCATGTCGGAACATGCTCGTAGGGAAGCTGTACTTTCAGCGAGAAGGTCGTTTACGAGTATACGGCCCCTTCTATTCTGATTCTATCAATACTAGCAATCCGATAGGGAAAGAGACAGTGTTCGTACCCTCTTTCTTCTTTGTCGAGGGGTTCATGGACATGGTTCTTCCCCTCATCGGTACCCCTGCATGCCATAGTGTACGTATACTCTCGAATGTACCTTTTTCGGAGGAGTTCGCCGGATCAAGAGGGAAGCAGCAGCAGACTAGGGGACTGTTCCATGGTTCACGTCATCATGTACGACGCATGTAGGTGTGCGGCATGCTGGGGCTTGGACAAGGGCGGAAAAAAAGTCAGCGACCAGGGTCAGTCGACATACGTCGACGCAAGAAGAAGAAGAAGAGAATTTTTTTTTTTTTTTTTTTTTTACAAAAAAAGGACAAGGGGTTGAGGAAGATGGGAGAACGGGGAAAGAAAGAGAAGGCAATGGAGAGACAGGACGGAGCAAACCTTCAAAGACGTTTCTCTTCTGCCGTATCTTGTCTCCAAGACTGTGATGTCTTTCGATATGAGGGCATTGCTTGGATGGTGGTTCGGAGTACAGCTCTGCTGCTCTATAGGCATGCGCGCGACACACAGCACACACACACACCGAGGAAATAAAGGTATAAGCGGAAATACGGGCACACGTGCTCGCAGCTTCTTCTGTTCTTCTCAGTTTATTGCTATGGTTGTATATACGAGTACGAGTGGTGGGTTGGGGGCTCTTTGAAGTCGTAGACATGGGGGGGGGACTCAACAGGGTCAAATATCCGTTACAGGCGTACATATATATATGCATGCAACACACGCAGAGGAGCTAGGTCAGGAAGGCCTTGGTAAAGGGCCCTGTCGGGGAAATTTGCAACGACGTTTCGTCAACCCAAAATGGGCAGGGGTTATGGTCATTTGGGGGTCTGGGGGGGGGGGGGGGGGGGGGGGGGGGGGGGGGGGGGGGGGAAGCCCGGAAGAGAGAGGGAACTCAGAGGAGGGATGAGGTGAGTGGCTTTATTATTTATTAGTGGGTACAGCCTACAGGATGATTCGTTCCCATGTGCAACTGAAGCTGCTGAAAGGATCGAGAGAGAAAGTGGAGGAGGAGGCTGGGTTGCTGGCGTGACGAATCCACATCTTTGGTCTGTGAGGTATTAGTTGCAGGTATTTCTTATTCTGTACATGTAAGGGCCGGACGATCGAACCAAGAAAGAGACGCTGAGATGAGTCGGGTCAATTGAAGAGATCCTGATGCTGCTGTTGCCGTTGGCGGTGATGCACTATAGCCAAGGGGGAGCTGGATGCAGCAGTGTAGATGCCCATAACCCGGTGCCTACAAGGTGATACGTGGAAGAGCGGTACGGTGGCTCTACAGGTAATATATATATATATGTATGTAGGTTTGGCGTTGGCGGTGCAGGGGTAGACGGATGGGTTGGACGTGATGGTTGAAGAATAATATATTCCAGGCAAAAGGCACAGATAATACGAGTACGGTCAAGAGTCAATTCGAATAAATTAAAAACGGGACTACCGGAAAGGATGCTTGTCCATCCTGACAAACAAGGAAACCGGTCAACAAGGAGGATATGTACAGATATGTATGGGCATGTACTAGGCTACTAGCAGCCTGTAAGGGTGATGCTCTATACCCGTAGCAAGTAGTAGTACCGGGTAATAGGCTATAGCACACTACAGATTACATGTAGAAGTATTAGCGCCACTATTAATGGACTTGTGGTCTGTAGATGGCTGACGGGAGTATCGACGGAGTGCGCCGTTGCTTGATACGCTGGCACGGAGTACGGATACGGCGAGCTCACCTTGCGGATCCTTGACAGCAAGCAGTGACATCGGAAACCCACACACACGCGCAGGGCGAAGATGGAGCAAGCAAGGCAAGGGCCGCAAGGTACCCAGCTATCCTAGCAAAGTGCGCTCGAATTACGTACATGTAATATTATCGACCAGCTGCCAGTGGTAAGTAATCTGCAGTACGGAGTACTGGTCGAACCACTACTGATACTACGTATTTCTATTCCGATCTTGACATGCGGGACAATGCCAAATCTGCGCGAGTACGAGATGCCGTATTACGACGGCCTACCCACCACTGACTACTACCACCTCTACAGAGCAGGCACTCTAAAGCAGTACCGCGACCCTACGGGAGTTACGTAGGAGTGGCAAAATGGCAGACAGGAGGACCCTTGGAACCGTGTAGGCCAAGTCAAGCTGTCAGAGCTGTGCGGCGTAAGGGAATGACGTGCGTCATCATTCAACGTCATCATTCAGAGGTGCTACGCAACTGATAGGACCGGTACTGATGATGGTGGTAGCTGAGCGATACAGGTAGCTCTACAGGTAGCTCTACAGGTAGCTCTACAGGTAGGTCGCAGTGATGTCGACAGCAGCAGTACGAGCGAGCAGCGAGCAGCGAGCAGGGAACACGAAACAAGACAGAAACAAGACAGAAGGAAGGTAGGAGGGTGCTCGCTCCTTCCCTTCTTACATGCACTCTGCAAGAACGGGTGCAAGTACGACGTAGTATAAAATTAAAATAAAAAAGAAGAAGAAGAAGAAGAAGAAGAAGAAGAAAACATTCCACATGACTGCGACACAAAAGATAGGGAATACCAAAGGAGAAGAAAAGTCGGCATACGATGCAACATACGACGACTACAGCGCAGGGTTCAACGAAATACACATACGACGGGTGCAGGTTCATCTCATCATGGCCTTGCATGGGGCAGGGCAGGTCATTCCAGTCCAGTCCAAGTCCGGTCCAGTCAGGTCGGTCCAGCCAGTTCCCCCCCTCTCGAGGACCCTCCTCTTCAGATTGGTCCCCGCTACTAATCTCCCCCGCGCCAATTTGTCCGGATACGTGGAATGCCTATCATCATCGAGCACATCTCTGCCTCTCCCTCCCTCCCGTATGCGCGCTCTCTGTCATGGGTGGTTAGGAGGGAAGAAGGAAGAGAACGACAGAGCACACAGATTAAAGGGATCTGCACTGCACCAGCTACGTAGTTGGTCCGGCAGCCGTTTCGCCCCTCCTCACCAATCCTTCCCCTTCGCCCCCTCCCCCCCCCCCCCCCCCCCCCCCCCCCCCCCCCCCCCCCCCCCTCCTCTCTCTCCACCCCTTCTTGCCGGACATATTGGCCGAGATCTGGGAGTGGAGGAGAGGAGGGGCGGCCAGCCACAGCTGACGAGTACGAACGGTCGAGTTAGGGGAGTAGTACAGCTACTTGTTACGAAGGAAAATAGCAATAGTCGGTACGAATATTGTTTTCCTCCCCTCTTTTTTCGTGTCTGGCGGCAAAAAAAAAAAGAACCAGTGATATACTTGGGAGCAGTAATTTATTCGAAATTTCCATTCTATCTGCTTCAGGAATTTTAGCCTTCGGATGTAGACCCACCCTCTCTCACTTGCAGGCTCTACGATGTATTCCAAACAAAAGACTATGCAATGTGCAGTAGACATGTATACACACACACACACACACACACACAGAGAGAGAGAGAGAGAGAGAGAAGTGTGTGTGAGAGAGACTTGCGAAGTGGCATACTGCTGTACTCGAACATGCATGCGAGCGTGCATGCAGTGTGGGAAGCTAGACCCGGTAATATCAGGTGCGTGCTGCCCTCTGCGAGTTCCTGCATGCAATAGCGGTTTGGCCGTACGAATCATGGTTAGACAATCGAGCCCTTTGAGCCTATGAGCCCATGAGCCCATGCTGAGCCCATGCTGAGCCCCCATGTGTGGATTTGTGTGTGTGTTCTTTGTTGTCTCCTCACAGTACATGTGTGCGCACACACGCACACACACACACACACACGCACACACACACACACAATACGCACATAGGCGCACATGCTTGTTCGCACACATACACACACACGCACACACACACACGCAGTTTATAAATGAACACACACACACACTTATTAATGAATACACACACACACACACACAAAGAAGATTAAACACCTCCGCCCCTCCCCGCTGCCCGCCTCCGCCCAGTGCCGCCGAGGCCGACAGCCAACGCCAATGCCAAGCAAGTCGACTTGGCCCTCTTAATCCGATGCGTTATAGCACATGGCCGCACGAGAGGCGAGGTTGCTCACCAGTCCAACCACCCAGCCAGGTCACGCAGCCGCAGCAGCAGGTTGAGATGTATGAGTCCGACAAGCCAATACTGACTACTCGTACGCCCAGGTTGGTAGCGGATGGATTGGACACTAGAGGCACACTAGTTGGCGCTTTCCATGCATGAGCGGCTCACGCAATCTGAGCTCGTGTGCTCATGGGAGAGCTATGGAAATACGCCGTACGTACGAGAGCGAGCCTGGCACGGAGTAGAGAGAGACGAGAGAGACGAGAGAGACGAGAGAGTGTGTGTGTGTGTGTGAGGGAGGGAGTGAGAGGGAACGCTAGGAGTACATACAAAGTATAAGCTTGCGATTGGCGCCGCAGTCCCCACGTTTTTTACGCGCCAACAACACACTGTGCTTTTCTGCACCAAGGTAGCATTATTGCGCCTGGATTTCTTTTCTTTTCTTTTCTCTTCTTTTTTCCCCCTTTTTTCTCTTTCTTGAAAATGTGGTCACTATGTGACTAGTCTCATAGGCTGATGGCCTCTTCTTCTTTCTTTTTCTTTCTGTCGCTGCCGCCTCCGGGAATTATTTACGGGCCATGAGATGGAACAGAGAACTTGAGGGGATCATAGCCTACAGGACGGACCACATCGGAACGATGCGGCGGCGAATGCGGGCGGCGAATAAATGAGTAAAAAAAAAATTGGTATTTCAATATATATAAATATATATAAAATATATATATTACTATAGAAGCTCTGGATTATCTCAGAGTCACATCTGCCGCTGGACCACAAGCTGGACTGGCCGACCAATGATCGACACGGAGAGCACCTGATTTTCTATTATTTATTCTGACTCTGGGGTCTCTGTTCTCGCTGTTGTCGCCTATCTGGGCACGGTACCTCGGTAGGTATAGAAGAATAAATAAATAGATAAATAAATAAAAAGCGCCACTGTCGGACCCTTGCGGCTAGATGATGGTCATGAGAGAGAGAGAGAGATGGAGAGAGAGAGTTAGTTTACGAGTCCGCCTGGCTTGGCAAGATTACTTTTATTTTTATTTATCTTTTCTTCCACCTCTCGTCAAAAGAGTTGTAGGAGGAGATGTAGATCCGCAACGGCGGCTTGCTAGTGTTGACGGGAGGTGGAAGTAGTCGTACTCGTGCTCATGGTGTTTCGCTAGGTTCTAAGTACATATATATATATATATATATATATTCGTACCTGTATCAGCAGCAGCAGACGTAGTATTAGTAGTAGGGATTGGACTATTTGGACATGTATTCTTCGCCTTCCTACTAGTGTACGGGTACTAGCAATCAGCAGTTCGTCGATACACCATCAGCAGCACATATATATACTAGTCGCACATGTGTCATAATACTCGTAATGATACTGCAACACAACATTACGAGGCACAGAGGTTGATGGTCAGGTTCGGAGGGATGGAGCGCCAAAGTCGAGCTATGGGTCGTCAGCAAAGATCTTCCTCCTCCTTCGTCTTTTCCGCTCCAGATCTCTCTCCCGTAGCGGCAGGAAAGCTCACTGATCTGCTCGTTCCGACCGAGCCATGGTGATCGAGCTACCTCGCGAACTAAGTCCTAGTAGGTAAAGACACCATCAGGATATATAGTACTAGGCATGTTGGTCTTCTTTAGTGTAATCCACTCGTGATTACGGGAAGCTTGTCAGCTATCCTCTCTCCTCTCCGGAATTCACACGCTCTCTCTCTCTTTCTCTCTTCTCCCTCCCTCCCCCTCCCTCTCCCTCACTCCCTCTCTCTCTCTATCTATCCATCTCCCCTGTTTCAGACTCTACTCTTCTCAATACATCATCTTCTCAGAATTTATGCTTCCTACCATCTGTGCTTCCCACCGTCGATGTCGTATGTGTGTGTGTATGTTTGTGTGATGTTTTATAATAATGCGTTTTATGTGCACGTAATTCCGAGACGACTCGCAACGGGTGTGTCTTACCTCTGATCCATCCAAAAGTCTCTCGGGATTCAGCAGAAGATTTGCCCCAATTTTACGATAATGATAGATAATAAAAGCTTGTAAGATGTAAACAAGAGAAGAAAAAAAGACCGAGAAAAGAATACAGGTAGAAGAGAGAGAGAGAAGAGAGAGAGATCACCAACATGCGTCTGGTATTACGAATGATCCGACAACCAACAGTCCAACAGGGGTGTTGTAGAGGGGCGGATGGGTCCTGGGACAGAGTGACAAGGTAAGGAATTGAAATGCTTACATGTAATACTTGTATAATGAATATTACAGGTAGCCGGTCTATGAAGGTGTTTATAAGGCTCCGTATTGAAGAAACAGAGACACTCTGTCTTCACTCCCATGCGTTCCAATCCTCAATGCTTGGGAACAGTCTACCCGTCCCTTCTCTACTCCGTGACAGCTACCACTGACACATTTTCCGTACACACCAAACATCATCTTCTCTCCAATACACACAGAGTGGTTCCAAGCCAATTCCTCTCTCTCTCTCTCTCTCTCTCTCTCTTGTATCCTTCTCCACCTTGAATCGTGGTATCCACCTACGTACATGACTACTTCTCGTACGGGTACAGCTAGCCCAAGTACGTATACTACGAGAGAGCGCGAGAGAGAAAAGAGTTACATCTTTATATTAACATCTCTCCATATAATCATCTTGTACCTCTTCTCTCTCTCTATCCCTCTCTCTCTCTCTCTCAAATAATAGCGGCCTTTCCTCGCCGGTCTCTCTCTCCCCTCCTCCTACTCCTCCACTCTCCACTCTATCCCACCCCTGTCGTCGACAAGTCGTTCTTAACGCGCGCGAGAGACGTTCTCGTTAGTAGGTTTTATTCTTCTTTCTGTTTATATGCGTTCTAATTTGACAATGGTCCTTCCCTCCCCCCCTCATCCCCCCTCCCCCCTCCCCGTCCACACACACAAACGTACATACACGAAAGGTACTCCGTTAGAGAAAAGACGATTTTGCCTCAGCCCCGTCGGAGGGTCCACGATCCATGTCCACATACCACTTCCCCCCTCGTCGTCCCTCCCCCGCTCATGCAGGCAAGGTCCGTTTGGACTTGAGAGGCACACCATGCATCATGCATGGCGCATGCTGCTTCTCTTGTCTTTTTTCTTTTTTTCTTTTCTTGTCTTCTTATCTATTTTATCTCTTTTTCTTTTCTTTATGTAGCTGCTATTTATTTCATTTTTATAATTTTATTCTTTTTTTCCTAGCTAGCTCGGCACTCTCTTTTCGTCGTCCCTTTTATTTCTTTCGTACATCCGTTGATATTGGCCTTTGCTTTCTCTCTCTCTTCTCTCTTGTTTATATATATACATATCCTTTCTATACAATTGGGGGTACCGATCCTCTTTTCCTTTTTCTTCTTCTTATTAACGCCTCTCCTCATCCTCCTCCTCCTCTCCCCCTCCCAATAAAGACAATAATGTTTATTTCCTCTTAGACATTCCTCTCTCTCTTTTTCCTTCTCCTTCTTTTCCCCTTTCTTTCACTGTATATTACGATATCTGTGTCAAACAAAAAAAAGCAAACTTGGGGGTATTATCTGGCTATCAATCTTCTTCTTCTTCTTCTTCTTGGACTTTCGGCCTCTGTTCTTCGTCTCACTTCCGTTTCACGTCCGTTCTCGAATTGGCCTTGTCAAGAGCCAACCACCACGCTTCTTCCCCACCTTGCGTTCACGAAGATCAGTGATTCACAGTCACCTCAGGTCAAAATTCACCTCAGACTAGGAAAAAGGGCAAACACGGGAAACGACCCAGAAGAAGAATACTCAGAACCGATCAAGACGGGATCTCAGTTACTGTCCAATTTCTTATGTTTTCCTGGGGGGAAGGACAATTCACCCGTTCTTGTTTCTCTCGCTCATACAAGAGCTCACGCGACTTCCTCGGATTCCTTCCTTCTACCATCATCATCCCACACACACCCCCACCACAAAATACCAGCCGAGAAGAATCAGCACTTCGGCTCGCATTACAACGCACACATACACACAGACGCAGTCCGTCATGGACCGAGATGTGGTCAGTGCCATCTCAGGCAAGATTGCTAGCTTCGCCAGCCTTCTTTTCCTTCCTTCCGTCGACTTCTGGTACTCGACTACCTTCTGGATCTACCTGTTCTGGGGGCTATGGTAAGATGGAGAAGATGCACATCACCCACCCACCAGCATACACACACACACACACACACACATGCACACATCCCTACAGTTCATACCTCTCGATACCCGTATCTGTGTGTATGTGTTCGTGTTCGAAAGGGGATAGAGAGGACCTGCCTCGACTGACAAGCAACACCACACAGGATCCATCGCTACCTACGCCTCCTTGTCCACACCGTGAGCCATTGGACGTACAAGTCCAAGCCCATCCCTGCCAAGCCCAGCTTCACGAGCAAGGACGTGACGGTCGTGATACCCACCATTCACAATGCCTTTGAGGAGCTCAGGCCGTCCCTCGAGAGCATCCTTGCCTGCGAGCCGGCCGGGCTGATCCTCATCACCACCGACGACAAGCGCCAAGGTCTCGAGAAGCTGGCCATGTCTCTCCGCGGATCATCGCCGTCGTCTTCCTCCAATCCGGCCTCGGGCAGCGGCCTCGTCCGCGTCATGAGCACCCCGATCGCCAACAAGAGGCTGCAGGTGTGCGAGGCCCTCCCGCAGGTGACTACGTCCATCACCATCATGGCCGACGACGACGTCACCTGGCCGACGACGCTGATGCCTTGGATCCTGGCGCCCTTCGAGGACCCGGACGTGGGCGGCGTGGGCACGAACCAGAGGGTCCGCCGGGAGCTGGACGTGCCCCTGTCCACCCGCGTCTGGAACTGGCTGGGCGCGGCCTACATCGAGCGCCGCAACTTTGAGATCTCGGCCACCCACAACATGGACGGCGGCACGTCGTGCATGTCCGGCCGCACGGGCGCCTACCGCTCCGAGATCCTGTCGAGCCACGACTTCCTCCACGGGTTTAGGAACGAGAAGTGGAGGAACTGGATTCTCAACGCAGACGACGACAACTTCGTCACCCGCTGGCTCGTCAGCCACCAATGGAAGACGTGGATCCAGTACCACGACGAGTGCGAGATCGAGACGACGCTGGAGAACAGCTCCAAGTTCCTCTTCCAGTGCTCCCGGTGGGCCCGGAGCAACTGGAGGAGCAACTGGACTAGTCTAATCAGGGAGCGTTATGTTTGGAGGTTAGTTGGTCCTTTGTTCTTTTTGGGTCCTCCTTCTCCCCCCCCCCCCCCCCCCCCCCCTGTCTTGTCTCTTTTACCATACCCCTGTCTTTTTTCCCCTCTGTGTTAATCCCAGGCTCGGTTCTTTTTTATCCCTCTGCTTGTTTTAAACTTGACCACACCCCGGCACCGTCGTATTACGAGCACGCGACGTGAGATATGGCCAAAAAAAAAATACATTGGTACTTGGGAAGGTGGTGTGTGCGTGTGTACTGACATGAACAATTTCAAAAAACAGACAACAACCTTGGTGCACCTACTCGCTTCACATTGCGACCTTCACCTCCCTCGCCTTCCTGTTCGATCCTCTCCTCCTATTCAGCTGCTGGTACGCAACGGCCGACTGGAGCTCGTCTGCGAACCGCGTCTACGCCGTCTGGGCTCAGTTCATCTTCATGTTTGCCTTTACCAAGGTGGTCAAGCTTGTGGGTCTGTTTCGACGAAACCCAGCGGACATGATTTTCCTGCCGGTATCCATAATTTTTGGATACTTCCATGGGTTCATCAAACTGTATGCCCTATTCACTCTTAACATGGTGAGTTTCTTCTCTCTCTCTCTCTCTGTCTCTCCCTCTCCCCGTATCCTTGTCATGGGCTGTCTGTTTCACATATCCCTGTCATGTTCCATCTTGTACAATTGTATATACACCATATCATTGCAACAACGTCATCAACGACAGCGACAGCAACAGCAACAGCAACGATATACTAACCTCCAAACAGACCTCATGGGGTAGCAGAGCAGATGGAGACGCCAACGACGAACAGAGACTGGCGCCGGCCCCACAGCCATCAGTCGTGCTGAAGACTCCGCCTGGAAACAGCTCACTCATTCGCTACAACATCCGTCAGAAGGGACGACAGGTGTTGCGCGGGGCGGGCGGCACCATGGAAGGACACTACCAGCAGGAGGAGAAGAAGGACTATTACGCCGCCTACGATTCGAGTACATCGTATAACCCGATTCGACTTCCAGTACGGAGTACTACCTAGTGCTACCTGTACTGTCTAACATTACCCGAGTGCAGATACCGAGTAATATCAACTCGAAGGCGTCCACTCTGTACCATCTCTCTCACACCACACACTGAGTACGACGCATATACATGGTACTCTCCATATACTCGCGCACACAATCCACGAGTACATAACGCGCATACACACACACTCACACACTCAGCACACTCACACACTCACACGACACGAAGGAAAAATGTACCTCGGAGCACACACACACACACACACACACACACACACACACACGATAGCTCCACAAACATTTGGCCATGATGCATGACCCTTATGACACGTTACGCAACCCTTTCTTCCTCCTTCTTTTCCTGTCTCTTTTCTCTCTTATTATGTCTCCCGACCCTCTCACACCCGCGACCCCTCGGGATTGTAATACTGTGCTTTCTAAGTGGATAGGTGTCTTTTTTTTACTTCCTCACTCTGTTCGCCCTTGTTCTTCTACTTCTCACTTTTTTTTTCCTCCTCACTTCGTTCGCCTTCGTTCTTGCTCCTACATATTTGTCGAAAAACAACAAGTGAAAAAAAAAAAAACACAGAGAAGACGCGGCGGGTATTCCGGATGGACGGGATGGTCAAAATACAAAACCGGTGGTTTTTTTCTTTTTTTTTCCTGCAACAAATCAAATAAAGGGTCTCTTCTTAAGTGTGCTAATCAATCGGGTCAATGGGGAGGGGAAAATTGTTTTCTCTATAGGAGAGATCACACAAAAGTTTCTTTTTTTTTCTTCTCTAGTTTATAATGCGATGTAGAATGCAAGCCATGGACAAAAGTTATTTTTTCCTTCTTCTTTGTTTGTTTGATTGAGAGAGAGGGTGGGAGAGAGAGAGGAGGGAGGGTGGGAAAGAGTGAGAGATAATGGAATAGAATGGTAGACGATACAATGACAATACTTTTGATGCAAGCAAAGAGGTGCAACAAGTAAAGACCAAATATTTAATTTTATATAATTGTATTTTATTTTATTTTATTTTAAAAAAAGAAGGAAAAGAGGAGAAAAGAAAAGAAGAGAAGAGAAGATAATACAATACAGAAGAGATAGATAGGAAAAAAGCGGGGGGGAAGAAGAGAAGGAGAAAAGAAAAAGCAAAGTGCACATTACGGTGGCGGCGTAAATGGATTCCGGCCATGCACGTTCCATGCAAGACCTGTTGTCTCTACTGCGTCGTCGGTAATACTAGAGAGCGAGAGCAAGCGAGTGCATAGGAGGGGAAGGGCGAGGAGAGAGATGAACGCCGTGAGCGGTACGATTCTTGTTCTGAGCTGAGCCGATAGCGAGATGATAAAATACTGCTGATCTGTAGGATAGCAGCAAATATCCGATACGGAGGGCGTGATGTTATATGGAGTACGGGAGACACTTGTGGTCAAAAGAAGCCGGAACTCGTTGGCGCTAAAAACGGATGAACCTCTCTCTCTCCACACGCGTGTCCCACTAGCACAGCAAACTACGACGTTTTTCCCGAGTAGAGCGAGGCGCGGGTATAACAAGTTTTTGTTTTGTTTTCTTGAGTGAATACGAGCGTGCTGGATAGGACGATCAATTGCATCACGGGTTTTCCTCCTCTTCTTTCTTCTTTTTTTTTTTTGGTGATATCCCCCCCCCCTCTTTTGATTCAGCTGGTGTTGGATCAATTGCAGAGATGAATAATGAGAAGAGAGTCGGTGCCCTTTATTCTGAAAGATGGGAGTAATGATATCTTCCGTCCTCGTCTCTACCTGTCAATCCGACCTTGTCTGTGTCGTAGAGAACTTGAAGACTGTTCCGACGCTTGTACCGGTCATAGCCGTGCATGTAACATGTTCGATGTACCGCTCCATGTACTGATCAGATACTACTCGTATGTAACGTATCTAGTTGATCCATCTTAGCAGAGGGTGGCTGGGATTTCCGGCCTCCCTAGCCGCCCCCGTTTCTGTCAAGCTGACGACACGAGTGCATTGGTCTCATCCCCTAGCCTCTCAGTGCTGGTCGGCCGAGCTAAGAGGCTAGAGCCTTGTAATGCTACTAATGATATACTAGTAATACTAATACGAATACTGCCAATGATGATGATGATGGGCTGATAGGAATACTAGTTTCCTCAATGGGTTGATCCGAAAGAGAGAGAGGAGAGAGGGAATACGCCTATGAGGAGAGGGGGGGGGGGGGGTATATTTTCTCTTCAGACTGAGCTGGAGCGGATATTCAGAAAATGAGATAGACTACGGATTAGCTTGATGAGTCAAGACATGCTCAGATACGACGGGTACACCCATTACTACTGCTACAGGTGTTTTCTAGTCTTGGGACTATGGGGATCTGGGGGATCTGTTGCGACGGACGTGGTAACGGAAATGTCACCTCATCATCACTCATCAGACCACGGACGGTCATGGAGAGTTGATGTTGTACTAGCACCATCACTATCAGTATTACTGGACAGTATCAGCATCACTGCTTACTGCCTCTGCTACCATTCTCTACCATCAATACCTCATACCTCTACCGCTCGACTCTACCGCTGATACCATCCACTATCTACTGCCTGATGCTCGATGCCTCCCTCCTCTACCACTTACCCAGTGCTCGGAGAACAAGGATAAGGGGAAGGTGCAGTCAACATGGCCGCAACGGGTAGTCACAGAGTCTCGAGATGACAGCATTCAAGACTGGAGTCTTTCTCCTCCTTCTTCTCTCGTCTTCTATCCAAGGTAGGGTCATTCGCAATGCGTCTGCCACGGGTATCAATACTGCCCTCGTAATCTGAGCGGGAAAATATCCAATCATCATCTCAGTTGTACCACACGAGTCGTTGGATTCAATTTCAACCGGTATCGACTATTTTTTTTAACCTACTCCTCCCCCCCCCCTTTCTTCCCCCTTTCGAGGAACCAACAAGCCAACAGACAAGAGAAGAAAAAAGAGAAGAAGATTGAGAAGGAAAAAAAAAAAAGGCCAGAGCTGGTCTCCGACCCCCCTCCAAGAAATCACCGGTAACTTGTTCCCGTTTCTATCCAATACCTTCTGGTACAGATGCCATTACGAGCTACCTACTATTACTACTGACGCTCCGTACTCCGTAGTGCACATTACAGGCACTGCGAGTACACAACACACACACACATACACACACACGCACGCACGCACGCACGCACGCATCCACGCCTTTGCCCCGCAATGTCGAGCCCCACGTCGACTCCCATCACCTCGACACTTTCCTGCCTCTCTGTCTCTCACGTCTCTACGTCTCTACACGTCTAACGATGTGGTGCTGTCACCTCAGATATGCTTCTGAGGATGCAGTGATTGACTGAGCGCGCCGGTTTACCAATGGCACGGTGGCCGCAACAGAGAAAATCAAAAGTGACAATGAGGTGACGCTTGGACTTCTCTCCGCCTCCGCACACTCGTACTCGTACTCCTCCCACTCATGAGATTTCGGACCTGACGGGGGTGAGGGGGAGGGGGGAGGGGAAAGGGAGAGAGGGAGAGGGGGGGTTGGCTGTTGGTTGTTTGGGGGTTTGTCCCCCCCCACTACGGAATGCTATTCCGATCATACATTCCGAAGAAAACATGGCATGTTTGGCCTGTTCATGTGCGAGTACGGATAGTATTACGGTATCGAATATGTATATGTATATGCATCTCCCTTTTGGACTGATGAATTACTTCTTGTCCTCCCCTGCAACAAGGGAGCCGCAACCGTTTTGATCCGTCCAAGGTTCCTCGTACATGCACATGTACGGGTGTAGCAGCAGTAGCAGTAGTAGCAGTGGTAGTAGCGGTAGTAGTGGTAGTAGCGGTAGTAGTGGTAGTAGCGGTAGTAGTAATAGTGGTTATTTGTTATTATACACCTGCAAGCTGTATCTAGGATTCCATTCATACCCGCCCCCCCGATTTTACGAGTAACTACTACTATTGTACTAGAAGGTAGGGATAAAATGAAATAAATGAATAGATACTCGTAACGAGCGTCTCAGGGTCTTGACCCCTCCCATTGCAGATGAGGAGCTAGAGAACTAGGACGAGAGGGGGAACATGCATCGTGCTTACCCGACCCTGACTTGATTATGACTATTATTTTATTTATTCTTATTATTTCTATTATTTCCTTACCTTTTTTTTTCCTTAGTTCTCTCTCTTTTTTTTTTTTTTTTTTAAAAAAAAAAAACCCCCCCCCCCCCCCCAGTCTCAATTAATACTATAATTCTTCTACTCAACTCGTACATACACGTCATGTACGAGTATGCACTTTTTTGCTGCAACAGCTCACAAGACATCAACAGTGCGTGTAGGGGGAGTACTGTCACCGGACAGCCTTCTATTTTCATTACTAATAATACTTCAACGTATTCCATCCTACGTCATGTGAATACTCCTCTTACTAAACCATACTCGTATCTCATACTCATCATACTCTCACTCTCATACCCATGCTAGCAAACCACCCCGTGGCATGATACTTGCAACGTCACAGCACCTACAGCACCATCCCGAGATACAAAACATTCGCCCACACAGCTTCGGAGAGAAGATCAAGATCACGCGTCACGGCAAGCTGGATCGTCTCTCCCAACGCAAGCGGGTGCGGAAGCGGCATCGCAACCGTGGCTCGGAAATTCCAGGTACAGCGAAGTGTCATTGTCAAGATCGGTAGCGCTCCTAGATGTATGAGAGTAGGCAAGTCTAGAAGTTACCACAAGTCAGTTTACCCTCTTTCTCTCTCCCTCCCTCCCTCCCTCCCTCCCTCTCCCTCTCTCTCTCTATATATATATATATATACGTATACATCATCTCTTCTCACCTCTTCTTCTTACAAGGAAAGGAAGAGCGTCGAGATGCAAATCAAGTACGCGTACGCGTGATAGCCAACATACCGATAAGCACGTCGTAGTCTGACCCGACCTGCGAGTACTACAATGCGCCATCGGGACCTGGCCCGGGCACCGATCCGGGAACAGACAGCACAGCTCCAGGCATGAGGTAACGGCCAACACGAGCGATCATATCCATGGACCGCGCCCTGAACAGGTCCCCCGTAGCCAGACTCCTCGTATTTAACATCTGCATACAAGACTCGTAGGGTGGCCTGCCCAGCCGCGACACCATCGCCTCGGTCTCGATGTTTCCGAACCGATCCGACGCTCTGGGCCACCATATCTCGGTGCCGCAGCCCAGCACAGAGGGGTTGGGGGGGCGGTGCAGCTGCAGCGGTACCAGCCGGTGCGCTTCCCGGGGCGTGATGCACTCCGGCCATGTTACCGGCAGACGGACGCGCTCTGCCGGTGCCGTCTCTGGTGCTTCTTCTTCCTCCGAAGACTGAGAGAGTGCTGTCGCTGGCGGCTGTGGGGATTCTGGGAGCCATAGTGGCCCCGGGGCAGACGTCGGCGGTGAGAGGCACCTCGGCTCCGCCGCCTCGGGAGAGTCTTGGTGGTCTTGAGGACCCGCGAGCCCTTCTTCCTCTGCTGCATCTCCCCAACCTGGGGGCAGTCTAGGTTCCGCCTCGCTCTCTGCCGCATCCGAAGCTTCTCCCTCGGAGACCTCGAGGTTCGTAGGCTCTGCCGTCTTTGGTGGGGTCGGTCTCTCCTTGTTACCGTTGCCGCCATTGTCGTCGTCATCGTCCTTGCTGGAAGGACGAGGGGCTGGAGTTACGCGAACGTTTATACGTCTGAATGAGCTGCTTTTTTTTTCATGCGCCGGTACGTGCAGCAGTACCAGTAGTATCTCGGCGGTTGCTGGCGACGTTCAACCGCATGTTCCCCCGACCGCTTGGACGAGATGTCGGACTGTCACCATGATGGCTCCTTCCTCTGAGGCTGTTCCGAGCTGTATTGTCAGAGACGTGGAACTGAACATGACATGTCCCGGGATGGGAGGGGAGGAGGGGGGGGGGGGGGGGGGGGGGGGGGGGGGGGACTATGGGCGGCACTTTCCACTGTGGCCGTAAGCCGTCGCGGTTTCGACCCTCCAGCAGCAGGCAGTAAACGTCGAGGGATGGGATACATGCCAGGTCCAGGAGAAAGGATGACACCAACTGCCGACCAAGCCCCCCCCCCCCCCTAAGACCCGCCTTCACCATGGCACTAAAGACCGAGTAAGCAGCATGAGAATACTCAGTGCTGGCAGGACCGAAAGCCACGACGACCGAAAATGCCCGAGGGTCAGAGCATGTGTCGATATGCTTGCTGCAGGGGACCTGACAGGACGACATGTCATATATCCGGCACATGTCCACCCTACAGAGGGCAATCTAGGAGACCCAGCAGACGGGCTGCTGGGAGGGCCGCAGCTACAGATGATACTAGAATAGTACTAACACCGGAGTGACATGGAAGACTAGAGTATTACGGGCGGAGTTGCTGCGACGCACCATGCCGGCTTGACAGGCACGCGTATGTTCCGTACCTACATGCTGTAGCATCGTCGCATGCACGAGTACGAGGGCATCAGTCTCCACGGATGGAATTTTGTATTCTTTTATTCTCTGTTAGGGGAAAAAGGGCCGCACGGGTGGATTTGGATCATCAGCGACGCAGGAGTACATGATATTACAGGCCTCGAGTACTGGTACTCGTATAGTTCGTATGTGAAATATGATGAGAGGAGATAGGTATCGTTGAAGAGGGTTCAAATTCTCGGGAACTTGATGCATATACTACGAGTTATTAGTACGGAGTAATAACACTGTACAGATTACATAGCAGATTACATAGCAGTAGTACGAATACCGCTACTATTATTAACGAATATTATTCTTACTACCGTGTTGGCTTGCCCCACACAAGCTCCCAGTCAAGGGTCCGTCCAATTCTGGTCGGCAAATGCGCCGTCACGACATGTTGTCTCTTCCCACACACACACACACAACAACATCTTGTACACGACATCTCGATTCCTCGTGTCTTTGCCCCTCCCTCCCCCCCCTCCCCCCCCCTGCTGTGTCGTTGCACACGCCGTTATAATGCCGATTAGGTAAAGAGAAAAAAAATAATAAGATTAAAAAAATTAGATAAAGTAAAGAGAAGGAGGACATACGAACAAGACAAACAAACAAATGTCAGCTGCCAGCATCAAGCAGCAGAAGGAGGACTTTGTGTCCAACCTGTCGGGAGGCGCGGTCAGCGAGATCAATGCCGTCACAGCAGTTGCGCCGGTAAGCCCCTCTGTCACCCCTACGCCGAGCTCAGACGGATAGAGGGAGAGTATGCAGCTGACGGCGGTATGTGCAGGTAGCCGCACTGGTATGGTCCATCCTTCAATCCCGACAATCCTTCTTCCAGCCCTACGGTCCCCTCGCCCTGGTGATCGACTACCTCCTCAACGTCGTGGCCATCCTCCTCTCCACGACGCTGTACTCGAGCAGGCCGACGCTCCTGTCGATACTGCTCGTCTCCCCCGCCGTGCTCACATACCTCGTTCCCCGAAAGGCGGACCCGTCGCGGCGGCGCACGCGCGTACCGCCCGCCGATGTCGCCGCAGGGGTCGGCGGAGGCCGAGGCCGGGCCAGGCTGGACCCGCTGCCCATGAAGCCCTTCCTGACGACGTACCGGGCCAGCATGCTGGTCGTCACGACGGTGGCCATCCTCGCCGTCGACTTCCACCTGTTCCCGCGACGCTTCGCCAAGGTCGAGACCTGGGGCACCTCGCTCATGGATCTCGGCGTGGGCGCATTCGTCTTCTCGGGGGGCGTGGTGGCGGCGCGGCCGGTGCTCAAGGAGAGGGCCGCTGCTGCCGCCGCCGCTGCCGATGCGATGAAGGAGACCGGGACCGGGTCCGGGTCCAGGTCCGGGTCCAGGTCCTCGCCGTCGGCCCTGCGCCGCATAGTCGGGTCCATGCGCAGCTCCCTGCCTCTCCTGGTGCTGGGTGTGATCCGCCTCCTCAGCGTCAAGGGCCTCGACTACGCGGAGCACGTGACCGAGTACGGTGTGCACTGGAACTTCTTCTTCACCATGGGCATGCTGCCGCCGTTCGTGGCGGCGTCGCAGGCCGCCCTGGCCTACGTGCCGTCGTACGCGGCCCTGGCCCTCTTCGTCTCGGGCGCGTACCAGGTCCTGCTGGAGACGACGGCGCTCAAGGCCTGGATCCTCACCGCGCCGCGCGTCGACCTCATCTCCATGAACAGGGAGGGCATATTCAGCTTCTTCGGCTACCTGGCCATCTTCCTCGCCGGTCAGGACCTGGGCATGTTCGTGCTGCCCAGGCGCCTGGGCCGTCGCGGCGGCGGGAGCGGTGCCGCCGCCCCGACGGCGGGCTCGGAGCGCAACGCCCTGCTCCTCAGCCTGGCCGTCTGGGCCGCCGTCTGGTCGGGGCTGTACTGGCTGTCGACGAGCTACCGCTTCGGCCTGGGCCTGGACGTGTCCCGCCGCCTGGCCAACCTGCCCTACGTGCTGTGGGTGGCGGCCTTCAACTCGGCCATGGTGCTGGCGTACTGCCTCGTCGACACCGTCTTCTTCCCGGCCTTTTACAACGCCGTCGACGCCGCGGCCGAGAGGACGGCGTACGACGCCGCCACGAGCCGCGTCATGAGGGCCTACAACCGGAACGGCCTGTTCATCTTCCTCGTCTCCAACCTCCTCACCGGCCTGGTCAACATGTCGGTCAACACGCTCGAGGCGGGACCGGTGCTTACCATGGGTATACTCGTGGCGTACACGTCTGTTAACACGGCCATGGCCCTGATCTTGGATGCTTATGATGTATCCATCAAGTTGTAACTTTTCTCTTCTCCCTTGCTAGCGCTTTTCTTCTTTCTATCTCCCCCCCCCTCCCTCTGAAGATTCATCTACCGCCTGTTTTTTTCTTCTTCTTTTTTTCTCTCATGTGAGAGTGCCGTCGTACAAGGATGAACAAAGGTTAGGGGCAAACGGATATCTGCCAAGACGGGAGATGTATTTCTCTGGTTCCTTTTTCTTCTCATTTCTTTTTCTTATCATCCTGGTCCAGAAGGGAGGGCGGGCAAAAGCAATACAGAGAATAAATTAGGAGGGCGGGGGGGGGGGGGGAAGGAGGTAGATTGGACTAGATGTACCGCCTTCTACTTGGCCAACATGGACCAACACGGCTGGGCATTGGCGTTGGTGGTGGAGGAAAAAGATTCAAATCTCGCATACCCGCATATTCAAGGGGAGGTGTTTTTCTTCTAATGAAGTAATAGAAGATGTTTCTTTCTTCTTTTTTTGCTTTCTTTTCTTCCTTTTTCTTTCCATTCTAGAGTCCCTTGTTTCTGCTCGTATTCTCCTGACACAGAATTACGTAGGAACCATGAGTAAGTAGACTTCGTAAAGGGATGAGCTGGATCAAGGGCTTCATTCTCCCTTACGCATAATAATGCAGACGGCCATACGGGAGAGTACTGTATAGCTCAACGGTGAGCCTACGCTTGTGCTCGTCAAGTCGAATTGAGAGGGACCAGCCTTTACCAGACACGGTTATGTGTGTTGTGCGCAGATGCTAAGGAGAGGTGATGGAGACGTGTTGGACAGGTGACGTCTGTTTGTATCTGTCTGCCCATGGTCATACAATAGTGTATTATTATGTCAAGGAAAGAGACATGATTATGACGGTGGCTGTAGACGCAGTGTCACAAAACCCTCCGACTCTTGTCACTCTTTACTGAACTGCACTCGTACTGCTGCTGTCTTGGGACTAGTTGGATGTCTCGGCTACGTGGTACAGGGAAGGGTCAGTAGGCATTATGGAAGATACGTTGGCAGTGTCGAATCAGAGGAGAGAGGGAGAGTGATGTTTGGAGGAACGGGGCATGCGTGCTTCCTGCTGGCGACGACACACGATGACCCGTAGACGTGAATGCATCGGTCTCCCACTGGTACGTCCTGGGTCGATGAGCGTGTGTGTCGGGGCTCGATTGAAAGGGAAGGAAGTCCATCTATATGAGGTCATCTACAGATGTGGAGTGTGGCAGCAGGCCTCTGGCTGCTTAGTCATATACAATATGGGGGTGCCACACACATGTCTTGTCGTAAACGATGTTGGATTGACGTTGGGTGTATGCAAGGTACGCGGCTGCGAGTGGGAGTGGGAGTGGAGTATTAGAGTATTCGTACGTGCTCCGTACATGTAATACACGGAATTCTCGAATGGCAAGGAGCCATATGCCGTCGGTAATCGAGCGGATGCTTATGATGGCCAAGGCATCATGATAAGATGGGGCGGCGGAATCAATGAGTACAGGCCGGGCGGAGAGGGAACATGCACGCAATGCGTCTTTTGACAAACATGCCCGAAAGAAAAGAGAGAAGACAAAAAAGTCGGAGTCGCAGAACATCTATTCTCCGATCTGTCTCGGTGATGGGCATATTGGAGGTTCATGGTTGGATGGGCGGTGAAGGTGGTAGGTAGACTGTAGGTAGCTGGTGATGGTCGGACTCAGCAGTATTACTGCTGTACGGGTAGTAATATGGAGGAGTATTGTTATCATCCATGATGTTGGAGGGTTTGATGGTGGTGGAGAGTGAATGCCAAAATCCGGGGATCGATAAACGGGTCTGTTCTGGTTTGTCCGACACGGTTGATGGGAGTCGAGAACTTTCTGAACACAGAGTCGTGAGCACGATTGACTATCCGTACATGTGATGAGCTGTGAGGTGAGAGAAGGCCATGATGAGTACACTGTACGGGAGTGCCGATGCAGAGAACGACACAAAAGCTCATGTAACGGTAATGGCTTCTCTCACCTCGCGAGATGAGGTGTGAATTGCTGATGAAATTTACTACTCGTACAGTATTATTACTCGTAATACAGCCGGATCGCCCCAATTGCAATTTGCGCCATGGGGCCGATCACGAAGCGCATGAAACGCACGTCCCTGAAAGGACAAGGGTGTGCTCTGTATGGCTCCGTCTCACGAGCAGTTGGCCTAATAGCTGCGTACAGACTTGATGCTCGGTATTCATTACTCGTGAGTTGTTATACGGAGGATCGATACATGTAGAGCCGCGTTCAGGGTATCACCAAGACATTTTCTTCTTCTCTTCTGTCTTGCTGGGCATCATCGCTGATGACGGTAACGGAACGCCAATCGTAAGAGTGAGTATAACCATGATGGAATAGAAAGAGAGGGGAGAAGAGAAAGACAAGAGAAGAAAAGGACAGGTCTCTTGGAAAAACTTCCCCTGCATGCTGTAATATCGTCGAGTGCAGGGCGAGTCAATTGTTTGTATCCCCTTGCATCTTATCTGTCCGTGGCATGTGCATGATATGAGTGCATGATATTAGCAGGCAGGAAGCTCTACAGATTGCAGGTACGGAGTATCATATCAATACAGATGCAGCATTTTATCAGCGACTACGAAGAGTATCACTACATGCAATACTGGGTAATATAGGGGAGATGACGACAACGACAACAACGATCACAACAACCACGACAGCAGCAACAGCAGCAACGACAAAGGCCGCAACAGCTGATCGATACGCACAGCCATTACAGGCTCACTGCCCGTACTCACGGTACAGTGGGTGGGTGGGTGTACAGGTAATGGCAACGCCCTGAACCGACCCGACCCTAACAAAGTCCCGGCAGAATACGACGTAATGGTAGCAACCAGCAGCTGAGAGTGGCGCCCGCTGGTGTGGGGTAAGATTGCACCGCTTTATTGCTCCAGTGGGCGTGAGCTGAGGGTGTTGTTGACTCTGCTGAGCTGCCCGAGCGGCGAGGACTGCCCGGCACTTATCAGGTGCTGATTTTGGCGCTACCGTAGCTGGCCTTGAACAGTATCAAGTCCGGCCGATATTGGTAGCCCCGAGCTGTCACAGGTAATATATTATCGTACTTGCTCCGTACACATAGCGCATGCATCGCAGCGTATTATATCGTCTATCGTACGGTCACTGTAATGGTCCGGGCAGTGATGGAGAAGATGAAATGGAGCTGGACCGTCATACATGGTACATATAGATGCCATTGTATATATATATATATGTATATACAATGTATATATGTATATATATGATGATAACAATGATAATGATAATAGGTACATAGTACCCCTTCGAATCGTACGAGTGTCGACATATCAAGGGCTTGACTTGTTTGAACCGCCTTTCTCTCTCTCTCTCTCTCTCTCTCTTCTTCTGCTTCTTTTCTTTTCGTGTCGTGCGTGATAATACTCAATATCGATACTTGCTGCGCTCAAGAGTTCGCACTCAGTCTACGAGCACAAGTATCACCCTCACCTCCAGGTACATCTGGGCAGCCGCGAAACGAGGTACCGCACGCCACTGCACCGAGCCTGAAGACGACGAGGATACCGGCTGTGCACGCCGATGATGCCACATCAGCAACGGTGAAACGGCCACGAGGTACCCGACCACACAGGTACCCCTTACCCCTGGCGGTACCCGTAATTCATACCCGTCCCCCTCCCTCTCCTCCACCTCCCCTTGGCCCGCACCTTCATCTCCCGGAGCCTGGGCAATCTTACCAGAACCAGCGCCATCTCCATCAGAGGGAGGAGGGAGTACGAGTCGTACGGGTACCAGTGGGGAATCTGCTCCGGGACTTGTGCTCGTACTCGCTGTCCGTACTCTGGCCAGAGTATCACTACTCCGTACTGCTCATCAGAACCGACCGCTACAGGGTGTGCTGCCGCCGGTGGGCTCTGCTACATGTAATACGGGTCAACTGCTACGTATTGCAGCCTACAGGAACCGTCAAACGATGCGATATCAACATTCGCCAGACAGCGCCACGACTCTGACGGAGCAGCTAGGTACCCACGAGTCTAACCGCGTGCCTGACGGCATATAATACATGCCGGCTTTCGATCGCACTCGGTAACGTGCCTGCATCGCTCATCATGTCCGTATGCTGCATCGTATGCCATTGTAGGCTTGGTTAGGCTGCATCGCTGCTACTTACAGGTTTCAGTACCTGCAGTAATAGTGGCCTCTGATAGAATGTACCTGCGATAGTAGTGGCATAGCGCTGAAACTCGTACCTAGAGGAAAACCTAGAGGAAAGCACAGCCGTCGCACCTTCCCTCCCCTTCCCCAACCTCATTCAACCATCTCTCTTCTTCAGGTCTTCTTTTCTGTCTGCGGTGCCCGGCCCCCCCNCTTCTTCAGGTCTTCTTTTCTGTCTGCGGTGCCCGGCCCCCCCCCCCCCCCCCCCCCCCCCCCCCCCCCCCCCCCCCCCCCCCCCCCCCCCCCCCTTGTGTGCTCTTCTCTCTCATTTGCGTGGCAAGAATCACCACCTTTCTCTTGTCCAATTCCTTCATTCTTCTCTTCTCTAATTCGTTCCCTTTTCGCGACATAAGCGGCATTTCTTATACTCTTTTTTTTTTTTTTTTTTACAACGCGTCGACTGGTCTTTTGTTATCTCTCTTTTGCAGTTCCCACCCAGCCCTGCATTGTTTTTTTTTTCTCTCTTTCTACAGAGTAAACTTGCTCGCTTTATTATCCGCATCAGCTCAGCCCGAGCCACACAACCCCCCGTCTCAACCTGCATACGACGCACAGCCAGCTCTCCCTGACGCGTGCAGCAGCAGGAATAATAATAGCCCCTAGTCGCATCTGCTGGGAGACCTCGGTGCTGCGCTCACGTCAGCCTCGCAAAGCTGCCTCACAGCATGTCTTCCGCTGCTCTGCACCCAGCGCCCCATCAGTCAACTTCCCTGGCTTCACCGCCGCCTCTGGCCTTTGACAGCCGACAGCACTCGTCGCCCGCCGCCGAAGCGCATAATGCTCACATAGCCTCGACCACCACCGCCTCTTCCTCTTCCCCTTCCAGGCGTCCACCATCGCGCAAGACAAGCGCCGCCAACGGCTCCTCTCCCGTTGCCGACCCGGCCATGGCCTCTAGGCTCGGGAACAACTACCAGCAGCAGCAGCAGCAGCAGCAGCAGCAGCAGCAACCGCAGCATTCTTCGCATCACTCCGCCTCTGCCATGGGCCCTGCCGCCCCTCCACGGACCTCTTCCAACCAGCCCGCCCCGGACAGCACCCGGAGGATCTCCGACTTCACCGCCGACAGGGCTGCCTACACCTCGCGACACTCTCAGCCCGACCCTTCGGCCCGCACGCGCCACGATGCCCCGGAGAACGGCTACAGGTCCAAGCCGGCCAATGCCGCTTACTACCCTACCTACTCGACGACTGCGCCCCCGCCTGATGAACGGGAGGCTCACATACCCGCATCCGCCACCATGCCCATCCGCACACAACAGTCACAGCCCAAGCCGTCGCGCTCCGCCAACGACAACCCTGTCAGTGCCGTCGCCGACGCCGAAGGAGCCCGCATCCATCATGATGCCGCCGCACCACCCGTCGTCCCCAACGAAGAGCGGAGGGCCACTCGCAGCAGGCAAGACTATACCAGCCGGAGCGGTCACAAGGGGACGGTCAGGTTTGGCGACTTCATTCTCGGCAACACCATCGGCGAGGGTGAATTTGGTAAGGTCAAGCTCGGCTGGAAGCAGGATAGCAGCGCAGAGGTGAGTGACTTGCCCCCATGGTGCCGCAGCATGGCATTGTTTCTCTTCCTTCTCTACCCTTTCCGCTCTCTCCTCCAAACCGATACCCCTATTTTTTTCTTATTCTTCTTCTTTCGTAAAGAAATGTTTCTTATTATACCCCAAAGATCTCTAGAACCAACGGCTAACAGAACAAACACTAGGTCGCCATCAAGCTCATTAAGCGCGATTCGGTGGGCAGTAACCCCTCTCGGCTGGCCAAGATTCGCCGCGAAGTCACCATCCTGCGAGAGCTGCAGCATCCCAACATCGTGCAACTCATCGACATGGTCGAGACGGAACGGTATATCGGCATCATTCTCGAGTACGCATCTGGCGGCGAGCTGTTTGACTATATCCTCAACCACCGTTACCTAAAAGACCACTCGGCCCGCAGGCTGTTTGCCCAGCTTGTGTCTGGTGTCGGGTACCTGCACAAGAAGGGCATCGTCCACCGCGACCTCAAACTCGAGAACCTGCTCCTCGACCGAAACAGAAACATCATCATCACCGACTTTGGCTTCGCCAACACCTTTGACCCTAACGAGGAGCTCGACGAGGAGGAGGAGACGAATCTGAGCAACAGGGACTACGTCAAGCGGATAGGTCTCGACAAGGTCAAAGCCAACGGTATGAGGAAGGGCGACCTTATGCAGACCAGCTGCGGGAGCCCCTGCTACGCCGCTCCCGAGCTCGTGGTCAGCGACTGCCTCTACACTGGACGGAAGGTTGATGTCTGGAGCTGCGGTGTCATCCTCTACGCCATGCTCGCCGGATACCTGCCCTTTGACGACGACCCTGCCAACCCCGAGGGCGACAACATCAACCTCCTCTACAAGTACATAGTCAGCACCCCCCTCACGTTTCCCGAGTACGTCACCCCTCACGCCCGCGACCTCCTGCGCCGTATCCTGGTGCCCAACCCCCGAAAGCGAGCCGACCTGTTCGAGGTGGCCCGCCACAGCTGGCTCAGCGAATACTCCCACGTTGTCGAGTTCATCACCAGCTCTACCACGCTTCCGGGCGACGTCCAGAAGACCATCACCCAGCCCGACGACGCTGGCGACGCCCCCATGGTCCGCAGCTCCTCGGTCCGCGATGCTCACCGGCACAAGCCCCAGCCGCCCTCGGCCGTCGGCGGCCTGTCTAAGACGCACGGCAAGGTCGACGGCGTCGAGGTCGAGCCCGCCCAGCGCACGCCCAAGGATGCCAAGCGCCGCACCGTCCAGGTCGAGTACGTGGCCCCCACGACCCAGACCCAGCGCGGTGCCGACGCGGCGGCCTCGACATCAACCCCGCCTTCGCGGTCGGCTAACCCCCCGGTACCTTCCTCTTCTCGAATCCCCACCCTCGACAGCCTCGCCTCCTCGAGGGACAAGCCCCTCCCCAAGGACCCCCCGGTGTCCCGAGACGCCGCCGCCGCCGGACGTCCCGCCAGCTCCAGGCGCCCCCAGAGCTCGGCCACCACCGGCCCACGTGGTACCCGGGAACAGCGCTCCCACACGGAGAACTCGTACATTCCCACGTCGGTTTCGGCTGCCGCCAGGCCGCAGACGGGAGGGTCTATGTCCTCGGCCGCCTCCATGGGCTTTGGACCTTACGGACAGCCCGCGCCGCCTGCCGTGGCCGACACCAACGTCGAGGGGCGCATGTCGCAGCCCTTGCAGACGGGAGAGGCGGAGTCGCAGGGCCACCCCGGCATCGGCGTCCCTTCCCAATTCTCCAGGGTGTCAGGTGGCAGCCAGAGCCAAGGGGGTGCAGGCCGCGGCCACAAGAGGTCTACTACGATTGGCGATATCTCGACCAAGCTCCTCGGCCGCAGCGGGTCCATGTTTGGCAAGAAGCGGACAGACCCGAAGCAGCAGCAGTCGGACAAGTCGAGGAAATACCCACCTGTCAGCATGCAGCAGCCCATGTCCAACTCGAACAGGGAGGAGGCGGCACCGCGGCAGTCGACGGATTCCAAGCTCTCGCGGCGCTCGTTCTCGCTGGGGCTTGGCAAGAAGAGGAGCGGCAGCGTTGCCGGGTCGCAGACGTCGGCAGAGAAGCCGGAACGCCGAAGGTTCTCGCTCATCCCTGCCGGCTTCTCGCTCAAGGCGGTGGGTCTCGGTGGTAAGGATCAGCAGCAGCAGCAGCAGCAGCAGCGGCGGCCCTCGTCGCCCCCCCCCTGGGACTCGCAGACGGACCTGCCCGGCCATGACGGCAGGACAGTCGACACGCGGAGCCTGACGGCGCACGGCGACGGCAGGGGCAGCGGTGCTATGCTCGAATCGGGATACGGCAACAATAGCAACATGCCCCGGTCGCAGTCGTCGAACCAGTCCCGACATCAACGACACGCCTCGGCCCAGGTGGACACCAGGAGGCCCAGCGCCATCCCGCAGCACATGCAGCAGCAGCAGCAGCAGCAGCAGCAGCAGCAGCAGCCGGGCGCGACGAGTCGCCACCACTACTCGGGGTCGGAGTCGTCTATCGATGCGCGGCGGCCGCCTACGGAGCCGCAGATGAGCTCGCCGCGCCCCTACGACAGCGGCTACCCGAACTCGGAGACGCAATATTACCAGCGGTCGGAGACGTCAAGGAGCAACCGGGCGCCGGTGCTGCAGAAGAATGCCAAGAAGTTTACGGACGCGTACGGCCAGGACGAGTACCGCGGTCACGAAGGCAGCAGCGGAGCGGCCAAGCGGGTCATGGACTTTTTCAGGAGAAGAGGAAAGGCCCGTGGCGGTGAGGACAGGTGAGGACATGATGCCACGCGCACATGTCAGCATCACGAGCACGACCCTGCACATCTTCAGATCGGGGGAGCCGGCTTGATGGCGTGAAGAGTAGCAGGCAGGCAACTCTGCACACCGGCCTCAGCTCCGGGTGTTTTGGTCTCCCTGGTTCACTGCCCACGGTGCACAGCAACGGAAATCGGAGCCGGCGAGTGATTGGATCAAACACCCTAGACGACGTTGCGTCCTCCCCAAACAAGTCCAAGACTTGACCCGTTTCCGTCTGTTCCCTGGCCCCGGTAGGAGCATATGGAGCAGGCATGGAAGATGAGAGATAAAAGGCTTGGTTTATTCTAGTATATTAATTTCCCTTTGTTGTTCTTTGGTCAAGTTTTCTATTTCATCTCTTTTTCTCGTCTCATAATTTTAACTCTTTCTCGGTCAAATACTTTTTTTTTTTGGGAGGGCCCAAGGGGGGAGGGGGGAGGAAGGGATACTGGTGATGTGGTGATTGAGACGGGTTTGTTTTATAAGAGGGTAGAGTTGAAAAGATGTAAGCAGAGCGGCAGACATAAGAATGATGCGGCTACTGGTGGAGAGAAGTAGGAGAAGGAGAAGGAGAAGAGAGAGTAGCACTAAACGGGTAGTATATTTCTGATTTCGACTTTTCGTGGTGTTTTGTAAGAAGAGAAAAGAGATGAAATCCATCCGAGATAGCATGGATGGGTGGATGTCCTATGCCGTGCGGTTCTTCCTCTATACCTCTGCGATTTCTTTCTTTCTTTTTTTTTGTATATATCTGTCTTTTACCAATCCAATTGGAATGCAAGGACTTAGAGAAGGGAGGGGGGGGAGGGAGAGATGATTTTATATCGTATGCAAGTAACACGGTGTATTCTCCTTGACTTCTTGATGGTGGCCACGAGTCATGATATATAACACAGCATACGCCGAACGTTGGTGTATGTGCACGTGTAGGGCACCGAGGGATGTAGACTGGATGGGAGTGATGCACTCGTAGTTGTAAGAGAGAGAAGAAGAGGTGGTTGAGAGGTTGAGGAGAGCGGCAGATACGAACGAGACAGCTGAGGAAGAAGAAAAACATCGTAGTAGGCCTCGGCCCTGGCAGCCGTCCGCCGTCCCCGCCTGTTCCATGTTGGTCGGTATTATGGCCCGTACTGGGCCGTACTGGACTGTACTGGACCGTACATGTACGAGTATGGGGCGGAGTATGAGTACCGGTGCCGGGTTGCCGAGAGGGTCTGGGCTCGTAATATGTCTGAGTACTGAGCACTGAGCACCCAAGTCAGGGTTTATGGATCTGAGATTTGAGATTTTTTTTTTGGATTTTTTTTTGGATTTTTTTTCGTTCTTGGAGGGAAAGAAGAAGAAGAAAGAGAAAAAAAAGAAAGAAAAAATCCCGATCAATATGTCGAGGCCAATCACCTCCTCTTCTGTATCCAACCCGTAGGATGGGGGCCGGCAATGAGAGGAGGTTCTCGCACCCGTACGAGTAGTATAATGTTACGTCGTGATAGGCAACATGGATATAAGGAACAAATGTGGTCTTTCGATGATGCATGTACAGATGATGCTAGGACACAGTCACACGTGTAATCTCTGCTAGTATCAATACATATATATATATATATATGCATATATATGCATCGGTAGAGTGCCCACGATGCTGAACCGAACTGGGATGAAGGGGATTTTTTTTTTTTTTTTTTTTTTTGGCTGGGGAACTTGACCATCTACGATATAATATCACATGCATGGACATGAACCAGCAGAGTCAAGTAAACCATCATGATCCCATGCTTGAACACCTATCATCAGGCTCCCCCCATCAGGTCAACCTGCTTCAGCTTGCCTTCTCTCAGGTCTTGTTCTAGTAATACCTTTCTCTGGTAATGACCCCATCAAACTGTCTCACCCATACACCGTCACCTTGTCATGGTCCTACCATCATCATCCCTGCTTGTCTACCCCCTCCTCCTCCTCCTCATCATCTTCTTCTGCTTCTTCTTCTTTTTCTTCTTGTTCTTTTTCTTCTTCTTCTTCTTCTTCTTCTCCCGTTTTATTTCTATCTGATACGCGTGTTCTTCTTATTAATCTATATCTTGGTTTATCAACTTCTCTGAATATTTACAGACACAAGAAAACGGTATGCACCATCTTCATTTCTTGGCATTCTCTCCCTCCTTCCTTCTGATATCTAATTCTTCAATAATAACGACAACAGCAGCGACAGCAACAAGCAGCACTAAGACCATACTACAGACAAAAGGCGGGATTCTTTCTTTCTTTCTCTTCCTTATTCGTTTCTCTTTCCTCTTTTCTTTCTTTTTTCTTTTTTTTTTAAAAAAAAAAGAGGGCATCAGGCACAGCAGGCGGTTTCATGATTTGGGAATCTCCAACTGCAGGTTCCGGCAACACAGCCATCCTGCCCACACACTCCAACCAACACGACCACCATCACCGAGAGAAACACTGGCGAGCAGCGTCCCGAGCTCTGAGCGGTGACGAGCACGACAGAGGCACTGGCAAGGATGGCTCCCGGGAGGAGCATCGAGAGAACGCTCCGGCCGCTGCAGGGGTAGGCACGAGAGCACGGCGCCGCCGGTCAATCATGACCAGGCTCAACCGCTCCTTCAGGAGGTCGGCATGGCACATCGTCACATACAGCTGGATCAACGTCCTGCTGGTATTCGTGCCCGTCGGCATCGGGGCCGCCTACTCTGGCGTCGTCCACGGCGGCGTCGTCTTCGCCCTCAACTGCCTTGCCCTCGTGCCGCTGTCGGCCCTGCTGGCTCATGCTACCGAGACGGTGTCGAGCGGCATGGGCGATGCGCTGGGGGCGTTGATGAACGTGACCTTTGGGAATGCCGTCGAGTTGGTCCTATTGTATGCCCTGTCCCTCTTGGCTCCCCTCTCAACCTGCTTCTCTGCTGACCATCTCGATAGCTTGTGAGCTTCCGCCATGACGTGTACGGAGAGGGCGAGGTATCGTTGCTGACCGGTAGGCTGCCATGTTCAGACTGTCTCTGTACAAGGTATGTGGGATGGGTGCATCGGCTGAACGCCCTTACCGCCCGTGAAGATGTGAAGATGTGAAGATGCTGACGCTGAGAGGCAGAACAAGATCAGAATCGTCCAGGCCTCCCTGCTGGGAAGCATCCTGGCCAATCTGCTGCTGATCCTAGGCATGTGCTTTCTGCTCGGCGGATTGCGATACCAGGAGCAGCTCTACAATCCCACCATAACACAGATGAGCGCCTGTCTGCTCAGCCTGAGCGTCATCAGCCTCGTACTTCCGGTAAGGCTGGAAGGAGAAGGGAGAAGATGTCCATGGTGAGGACCCGACTGATCTCATCCCTGTCAGACCACCTTCCACGCCGCCTTCAGAGATAACAAGCATGCCGAAGAGCAATCGCTCAAGATCAGCCGAGGAACCAGCGTTGTACGTCCGATACCTCCCGCCCGTGACTACAGAGACCGGAGACCACTGACCGGAGATCCAGATCCTCCTCGTCGTCTACGCCATCTTCGTCTTCTTCCAGCTCAAGTCCCACGCCCACCTGTACGAGTCGATGCCCCGGCACATCGTCGACGCCGAAGCAACCCCCGGACCGGCAGCCACCTGGCTCGACCCCCAGCAGCAGCAGCAGCAGCAGCAGCAGAAGAAGAAGAAGGAGAAGGAGAAGAAGAAGAAGAAGAAGAACCGTTCCAGCTCCGCCTCGGACTCGGACTCGGACTCGGACTCCTCTGACCCGGACTCGGATTCTTGCCGCTGCTCCGACACGGACTGCCCCGCCAGCTCGCGCGACGACAACGACCTCGGCCGACGAGTGAGGAGGGGCTCTAGATCTGCCAGGGGCAGGAGGCCCGGCTCCTCGTCAGGGAGCGGGGCCGGAGATGCCAGCAGGTCGCGCAGCTCCTCCGTCACGGTGACGAACACCCGACCTGCGACGCGCGAGGGCGGCCGAGTCGAGGGGGATGGAAGTGACCCGTGGGCCACGTGGAGGCGGTTGAGCAGGACGGACAGGAAGAAGAGGAGAAAGGATGAGAGACGGCGGCGCAGACCATGCCGCGGCCGCCGCGACCGTGGAAAGGGCCGGGCAGAGGACATACCGGATCTGGAGCTACCGCCTCCGCAGAAGGATTCGCTCGGCACCAGCCCTGTCCAGCTGGGGAGGCTGCACCCCTTCCACGACTGCGAAGGGCAGGGCGTCCCCGGGCCCTCGTCCTCACGCATGATCCCGCTCCGGAGGCTACGCGGCTTCACGCCGGCATCGTTCCTCACCACGTCCAAATCCGACGGCGCCCTGGGCGACGACACTCCGCGGCTGCACGGCGGCGAAGAAGAAGAAGAGTCCAGGCAGTTTCCCCGGCGGCCACTACCGCTGACGCTGACGCTGACGCGGCACTCGCACCCCGCGGCCAGCCCGGTCCTCCCGGCCCCCCGATCGTCGGCGATCGTCCGCCCCAACCGGCTGTCGGCTAGGACCATGGTCGGCGGGGCGGCGACGCTGCAGGGGTACGTGAAGGAAGAGACGCCAGAGGAGAAGCTGGGACGGCCCGCGGCCCTGGCGCTCATCGCCGTGGCGACGGTGCTGGTGGTGCTGTGCGCCGAGTCGCTGGTGTCGTCGATCGAGGAGGTGACGCGCGCGACGTCGATGGGTGAGACCTTTGTCGGGCTCATCATCCTGCCCATCGTGGGCAACGCGGCCGAGCACATCACGTCCATCGCGGTGGCGATGCGGAACAAGATGGACCTGGCCATCGGCGTGTCCATCGGGAGCTCCATCCAGATATCCCTGCTCGTCACGCCGCTCGTAGTCATCCTCGGCTGGGCCCTCGGCAGGGACATGTCGCTGTACTTTCCCCTCTTCGAGACAATGTGCCTCTTCCTCTCGGCCTTCATCGTCAACTTCCTCGTCCTCGACGGGAGGAGCAACTACATGGAGGGGGCTCTGCTGTGCGCCGTGTACCTCATCATCGGCGTCGTCGCCTTCTTCTACCCGGAGGGCGAAGATGCGAATGAGTGGGAGGGGGGTGGGGGGGTTACCCAGACCGTTGAGACGGTCAAGATGTTGCTGTCTAGATGATGTTACCCCCCCCCCCCCCCCCTCCTTTCTCCTTCCTCTCCTCTCCTTTTTTTTTTTCCCTTTTTCTTTTCAACTTCATATTCTCTCTCTGTGGCTTTCCCAATAGGTTTTTTTTTAATTATCGTTTGAATCTTGTTTCCCCTTGCGTAGCTAAGTCTTCGTATTTACGTGTGAGGAAAGCTTCGTCTTTCTTTCTCTGTTACTTGGCTCTCTCTCTCTCTCTCTCTCTCCCTTTTTTTCCTCCTTTTTCTCTTTCGTACATCTTTGGTCTTTTCTGTTTGATCATCATTAGACCGAGTATCGCTCTTTGTATAATATATATAATCGGTCTGTTTTCTCTCTCTCTCTTTCCTCTAGTGTTTAGCGTTTGGGTTTTCGAGGGATATATATATATATAGAGAGAGAGAGAGAGAAGGAGGAGTTTGAGAGATAGTCGGAAGGGAAAAGAACCCCCCCCAATCTCCTAGACGATAATATCATAAAGTTGAAATGGCCTGTTGAGGTGGTCGGAATTGAGAAATGAACATGGTCAAGAGGGATGAGCATGCCTGCTTACATGTTGATGTACAAGTTGAAGAAGGCTAGTGTTGACCAACCTCGAATTCTCAACTTGTACATGCCTTCCCACGGACAAGAATCAAGAATCACCCAAACATACAGGCCAAAGAAAAAAAAGAAAACAATGCCCTTTTGGCCAAGAAAAAAGTACAAGGCCGATGAGCCATCGCCATCGCCAGACTCAGGATCAAGACCATACCGAGCGGAAAAGGCCCCGCCATACAGCTACGACCCCTCACCATCGTCATCGTCATCATGGACATCACCCCCACCACCATCATCGACGACGGCAAACCTCCATCAGCAGCAGCAGCAGCAGCAGAAGCAGCAGTCCGAACCACCACCGTACACGGAAAGCAGCCACGACTGGCAGACAGCCGTACCCGACACGTCGCTCTTCCCCCCTCCGCCAGCCATCTTCAGCGGCTACGACGCGTCCCCGGCGACCAACGCCTCGGAGGAGGAGGCCAGGCTGGGCGAGCAGTGGTGCGAGGATCACCCCCTGTCGGAGGGGTCCGTGTTGACGGTCGACACTGCCGGTAGCAGCAGCATCAGGACGATACGTCTCATGGAACCGGCCGGATTCAAGGGCCAGCTCACCTGGTTGGGAGGGGGCACGTGGCGGGTCAGGACGGCGCGCGGGTCGCCGGACCGTTGCCTCATCAGCTATCCGCCCCTGTACCACGCTCACCCTTCCTCTCACCACCACGATCCCCTTGCGGGCGAGAGGAGGAGGAGGAGCAGCAGCAGGACGGGTGACGGCGAGATGAGGACCAGGTCAATCTACTACGAAGTACGCGTGCTGCCGGACTCGCCAGAGGTGACGGTGGCGCTGGGTCTGACGGCCCTGCCCTACCCGTCGTTCCGCATGCCGGGGTGGCACAGGGGCAGCCTGGCCGTGCACGGCGACGACGGCCACCGTTTCGTGAACGACTGCTGGGGTGGGAGGGAGTTTACCGGTCCGTTCAGCCGCGGGGAGACGCTCGGCCTCGGGCTGACGGTCAGATCGGACGGCGGCGGCGGTGGAGAGAGCGAGAAGGTGAAGGAGAAGGCTGCGTCGTTGACCGTGGACGTCTTCTTTACGAGAAACGGTCATGTCGTGGGTGGGTGGAACATTCACGAGGAGACGGACGCACAGTCTGATCGACCAGTTACCGGACTCGAGGGTCTCCATGACCTCTGTGCTGCCGTGGGCACGTATGATGGTGTCGGTGTCGATGTTGTTTTTGATCCGGCTGCCTGGCTGTACAAGGGTATTTGAGGGGGGGAGGGGGGAGGTTTTAAGAATCTTCTTCTTCTTCTTCTTCTTCTATTCCACCGAAAAAGGTATGAGATGAAATAAATAAATAATACCACATCATTGATGTCGAATCTGCTGTTATATCAACTTGTTGATACATGTTGTAATATATCATGTAGTAATACTACCCTTGTTTTTCTTAGCACCAAGTATTAATCTGTAGAGCCCGTAATACTAGATCTGATTCCCTTGGTGCAATGGAACCTTTCCCCACCAGACCGCATTCTCTCTCTCTCTCTCTCTCCCTCCCTCTCTCCCTCCCTCTCTCTCTCTCTCCACATCCCTTCCAACCTCAAAATCTCACGCGTGGCAACGCAACCACGGGCTTTAATCGATAAAGAAGAAGGACACCCGCTCATCATGGATGTAGACAGCGATAACGAGCAGCTCACAAAGGCCTTTCATGGCGGCACAATTGACAAGTAAAGCCCGCCGCCCTCTTTCTCCTTCTTCTTTTTGATTTCCTTTTTTTAATGACGTTGTCCTACAACAGACCACGCGCCGGGCGCTGACTCTTGATCTAGAAGCGACTGGCCCGACCTACGCGCAGACATGATTGCCCGTCTTGACAAGGTGAACAGAAAGACGAAGATCCGATGCAGCCAGCACAAAACATAACCCCCCCCCCCCATCTCAACGCTAACTCGCCAATACACCAGATCGCCCGCCATGAGTTCCCCATACCCAAACTTCCGCCGCCGCGACCCTTACCGATCCCCCATGTCAACTCGGACGGCCGGTTGACATCTCCGCTACCGTCGCCTGCGCGCGGCGGTGACGACGACGACGACGACGACGGCGAGGAAGGGCATTCGTCACCCCGACCGCCGATATATCAGCAGCTCGAACCGGGACAGCTCCCTCAGCAGCTGGAGGCGATGCTAACCGGCATCACGTCTCACCTCGAGACCTTCAAGACGCACCCGCCGCATACAATCCAGCGGCTGTCGGAGCTCCTGCTGCAGCCGCGCAGGCACTACAAGTCCCTGACGCCGTACCTCCACGCCTTCGACCGCGTGGTCATGGTGACGTCCGGGGCGGACACGTACCCGCTGCCGCCGGCCGACCTGTCGACCAACGGTAGCTCCGACCCGGCCGCTTCCGTAGCCTGGAGCAACCCGACGTCTGGTTCACTCGGGTCGGACGAGGCCCTGGGTGGCGCCCTGCTCACGCCGATCCCATGGCTCCCGTCCAACAGGAGGGACTCTCTATCGATGGATGATGACAATAATGAGGAAAATGATGGTGATGGTGAGGAAGAGGAGGAAGATCAGGAAGAAGATCAGGCAGAAGGACAAGAACAGGAACAAGAAGATCAGGCGCGAGGGAAAGATGGTCTGTCATTGTCAGTAGAATCATCCTCAGCATCATCGTCAACAGCAGGAGCGGCGGCGCAGATCCACAGCGAGAGCACGGAGAAGATTGAAGGCCCGAACGGCATGGGAAGCATGGAGACGGTCTCAGTCAGCGTCAACGGGGTACCCTCTACCGGTCGCGCGGTCAGGGGTATCACCCAAGGTGAGCTCCTGCGCCAGGAGCAGTGCGCCGGTGTCGTACCCGTCAGTCAGCTGCCGCGCACGCAACAGCATGCGGAGAAGCGTGACGTCGTCGGCCGGGATCGCCGAAGCAAGGATGACGGCGACGATGACGACGATGACGATGACGACGACGACGACAGTGAAGATGATGGCGACGGTCACATGTCCGAGGATAGAGAAGGAGGACTAAAAGAAGTAGAGGAACAAGAAGAGGAGGAGCCTCATGCGAGGGGACCGGAGGAGATTGGCGTCAACGATACGGGCCCCCAGAGCGCAACGGCAAGTCAACTTGCCGGACAGGGCGGTCTTGACACCCAGGCTATCGACGTCGAGGCCGCGGTGGGTAGGAAACACGACGACGACGACGACGACGACGCCGACGACGACAACGCGTCCGCCTCCTCGGCCGTGGCGGGGTCTAAGCGTGAGGCTGATGAGGCTGGTGAGCCGGTCAGCAAGGTTCAAAAGGTTGAGAGTGGAGGGGAAGATGATGTCGACATGGACAATTGACCTTGTCCTGTCCTCTTTCTCTATCCATCATTCCCATTTACCTGTTCCTTTTTTTTTCTTTTTCCTAGAATTGTATGATACCCCCCCAAAAAAAACCTCTCGGGGAACTGGATTGGGATTTATCGGGCGAATATCTGTTTTCTTCTCTTCCTGGCTTTCTTCAACTTTCTTTTCCTTTTTTTTATAAAAAAAAAGATATTTTTCCTGCTGTTTTTACTTTTCCTGCTTTTGTTTTGTTTTGTTTTGTTTTGTTTTCATGTTCACACATCATCACGAGACTATATTACAGTTCAAGAATCACGAATTACCATCTTCTCATCACTACGGAGATGCGATTGTATTGTGTACACGATCAAGGCCAGACTAGAAAAAAAAAGTAAGAAGAGAAAAAACCCATGTTACAAGATGTCAACCCTGCCCCTCACAACAACGCCCAGATGCAGTAAAAGACGGGAGGAAATGAGGAGGAAAGAGAGAAAGGAGGGAAAGAGAAAAGAGGGAGAGAGAAAAGAGGGAGAGGGAGAGAGAGGGACAGACTAAAAAATCTTGGTGATACTCTCCCTGGAAATGACACTGTTCTGCCTCTCATCCCTCCTGACCCTGAAGAAGCTATCGCAGAAATCGCTGCAGCGCATGTGCCGCAGAAACTCCTCGTCGTGCGTGATTACGATGAGCTGGAAGTTGGACTGGGCCTGCCTGGCGCGGATGATGGCGTGCAGGCTCTCGGCCAGGGACTTGATGTTGTCCCTGTCCAGGTTGGTTGTGGGTTCGTCGAGGGCGACGAGCCCGCAGTTGACGCCGAACGACTCGGCCAGGGCGAGGCGGACGATGATGCTGGCCAGCACCTTCTGGCCCGCCGAGCATCGGCCCCTCATGTCCATCTCCGTGTCCTGCTTGACCATGCACAGACGGTAGTTGTAGTTGCGGCGGGCGCCGGCCGCGCCTGCGGTGGCGGAGGCAGAGGAGCCAGACGACGGCGTCTCGCTGCTGTTGTCGGATCGGATGAGGATGGTGTCGATGTCGGTGCCCTGGTACGTCGTCTGCCAGAGCTCGCCGGCTATGCGGTTCACCTCGGCCATCTTCATGGAGTGGAACTGCATGACGGCGCGGTCGACGGCGGCGCTGCACTGCGCCAGGTCCTCGATGGCCGCCTTGGTCGTCTCCGCCCGGATGTGCGACTCGCGGTACCGCGCCTTGGCGTCCTTGTAGTCCATCTCCCACTCCTGCAGGAGCCGGTCCAGCTCCTCGTCCTTGGTCTTCATCGTCCCCATCACCGACCCGCGCTCGGCAAAGAGCCGGTTCGACCGGTTCTCCAGCGACCGCGCCTCCGACTGCAGCCGCTCGTAGTCGTCGTGCGCGTTACGCTCCTCCAGCGACGCAATGTCCGCCCGCAGCGTGTCTAGCATCCGCAGGTGTCGCCGGTAGTTGAGGTTGTCGCGTATGTTCTTCTTCTTGCTATCCCCGCTGTCCATATCCTCGCGCAGCTTGTTGGTCCGCCGCGTCAGGTCGTCAATGTCCGCCTTGCCCCGGGCGATCGACGCCTCCAGCGCCGCGATCGCCCGCTGGTTCGACGCCAGGTTCGACGCCCCGCCCCGGTTCACGTAGTCTTGTATGTCCGCCTCCACCATGCGCAGCTCGCTCACCGAGCTGGCAATCTCGTCGCGCTCGCTGGCCACGCGCTGCTCTCGATCCCGCCCGCGGCTGAGCGTCTCGTCCCGCGCCGACTTCGCCTCGGCCATCTCCGGCTCGATGGTCTCCAGGTCGGCGTCGGCGCGCTGGATCGTCTCGCGCTGCTGTCCGAGGTCGTCCTTGAGCGACTGGATCTGGACCTGTATGTCCCGCTTCTTGTCCAGCTGGCTCGTGGCCGAGCTTATCTGGTTGCGCAGCTCGCTCCTCTCCAGCTCCAGTGTGCTGATCTGGTCCTTGGCGCGCTGCCTGTCCGCCGACAGCTTGGTGATCTTGGACTTGACCGCCCGTATCTGCTCGCTGATCGTGGCCTGCAGCTCGTGGATCTCCTCGGCGCTCCGGGTGGCCCCCCCTGACGCCTGCTGGGACTGGATGCGCTCCACTTGGCCCTCCGAGTCCTTGATATCCCTGACGATCTGCGCGAGGTTCAGGACTGTCTTGGACAGGTCGTCAATGTCCCTCTTCCTGTCCACCTCCGACGACACGGCGGACTCCTGCTCCTCCAGCTGCCTCTCCAGTGCATCGTGCTCGCTCTCGAGAGACTTCAGATCTCTCTGGAGCGCCGGCAGCTCGGAGCACAGCCTCTCATACGTGTCAAACATGGGGCGGACCGCGCGTAGCGCTTCAAGGTTGGCGGTGGCCTCCTTCAAGTCCTCCTCCGTCTCCGCCTTGCCGTTGGGGTCGAGGTTCTTCTCAATCTTCTTCTGCAGCCGGTCAATGGCCGCGCGCTGGCTCTCTTCGAACTTGCGGTCGCACAGGAGGCACGTCTTCTTGGTGTTGAGGACGCGCCTGCACTTTTCGTAGTAGTCAACGAGAGCGCCAAAGAGACTGATCTCGTTCCGGAGGTCATCGACCGCCGTCTCCAGGGACGACATCTCTTCGTTGTAGTCCTCGATGATGGCGTTCTCGCGAACCTTCTGGAGGGCAGCGACAACCTCCTGCTTGCACCTGGCACTCTCCCGCCCGTTCCTGTCCACCGACTCCTTGGCATTCCTGAGTCGGTAGTCGACCTTCTGGAGCGTCTCCCTCGCAGCCTCGCGGAGCTTGGTAGCCTCGTCGACTTTACGCGTCTGTTCCCGGAGAGTGGCTTGGAATTTGCCGTCGAGGGTTTCGGGCTCCCAGCCATCACCGACGACGGCGGAGAGCTTTGTCCGCCACGTGCTGGTGAGCGTGTCCAACCTCCGCCTGCGGTCGGCCAGCTCCTTCTTGCGGTAGTCGAGCTGCGCACGCTCAGACGCAAGGCGGGTGGATTCGACGAGCTCGCGGCCCAGCTTGTCGCTCTCCGCCTCGAGGCCTCGGAGCCTCTCGTTCTCATCTGACAGATGCCGGTCCCAGTTGGCGTCGTCAAACTCGTGCTGGAACCTGACCAGCCTACCGCCGAGGTCCTCAAGCTGACCGTCGAGGAGGGCCTTGGCACCTTCGTCGACCTCGATCTTGCTGGACTCGTTTTGCAGGACACTGGCCCTCTTGTCGATGGCTCCCATGCGCTGCTTGGCCATGACGCGGTCCTGGGTCCTCGCAGCCTTGCGGCCCTCGAGCTGGGTGATGACGCTGGTGGCTCTGTCGAGCTCGGCCGAGTTCTCCTTTTGAATGCGCTCGAGATCGCGCTTCTTCTCGTCGAGTAGCTTCTGGATGCGCTCGTTGAAGGACCGGATCTGCTGGTCGGACAGGTCGCCGTCGAAGCCCCTGAAGTTGTACTTTTGGGCGCTGCCGTGCACCATCTCGACGCGGGCGCTGAGCTGACGGTCGTACTTGTCCTTGTCGGACTGGTGCTTTCCCTGCTCAGCCAGCTTGGCGTTGAGATTCCTCTGCGCCTCGGCAAGTTCCTTCTGGAGCTCGCTGTACTGGGCCTTGTTCTGCTCGGCCTCCTGCTGGAAGCCCTGGATCCTCTCCTCGTACTGGGCAAGCGACGCTTCGAGCGAAGCTTCGTCGTCGTGGAGCTCCTCAATGGTCTGGCGCAGCTCGTCGACGGCGTCCTGGCGGTACTCGAGCTGCTCGCGCTTGTTGCTCAGGTTCTGGACAATCTGCAGGAAGCTGTTGGCCTGCTCATGCTTGTCGCGAATCCTATCCTGCGTCTCCTCCATGTCGGCCGTCAGCCGCTCGCACTTTTCACGGGCAGCCTCGATCTCGGCCTGGAGGCCGGTCATGCGCTTCTCGGCGCGCTCGCCTCGGTCCTTGTTGATCTTGTTGTGGGCCTCGTCGTTCTGCAGCTTGCCAAGCTGCTCGACCTGCTTCTTTCGGAGGACTTTCAGGTTCTCGATGACCTTGGTATACTTGAGGGCCTCGAATATCTCGTCGAACCGCTTCTTGAGGGCGGCAGGCTCGCTCAGCGGCCAGAGCGACTCGTCCTGGTGGCAGAAGATGACGGCGTCAAGGATGGCCGGCGAGACACCTAGGCGTTCGGGTATCATCTCGTCGAGCTGGGCCTGCCGCGTTGACGTGGTGGTGCGCTCGCCATTGTTGACCACGACAAGCGAGCAATCGAGCGTCTTCTGCGACCGGGTCGTCTTCTTGGCCGTGAGCTGAAGGCTTCGGGTGGCGACGTGCTGGCGGCCGTTGATGGACTGGAACTGTAGTTTGACCTGGGCCATGACCTCTTTTTCTCCGCAGAGCTATAGGAATGGTCAGTGATGAGTCGCGGAGGGCCTCCGCGCCGAGACCAGATATTGGGGTGGGAGCGTTGTTGGTGGTGTTCGCGGTAGACATGCCTTGGGATCGTGAATGAAGGCACCGCCCTTGCTGTTGGGAGGTAGCTCTCCGGTAGTGGCATACTTGAGACACTCGATGATGGTCGTCTTTCCGGATCCGTTGTAGCCAACAATCAGGGTGAGGGGCGAGTAGAATTGTATAGCTTCGCGGACAGACGGGCTGAAGGAGCGGACTCCCGAGATGGACAGCTTGTCGATCTTGGACATGATGGGCGTGCTAGAGGCAGAGGCGCCTGTCTCCGTCTCCGGGTTATCAACAGGATGTCACCCCCAGGTGCTTGATCTCTCCAAGCCTTTGTTATCTACACACACACACACACACACACACACACAGGCACACAGGCACAGACAGTACGCTCTCTCTCGCTCTCCGAATCGGCCGGCGGGCTGATGGATTGTGCACTGCAGGACGCGATTGCCTACGCATCTGGGGACGACGCGTGGGGACGGGTGATTTAGTGCTGATGCGTGCTCACGTGAATAGATGGATTATTATCTGAAGGAAGAAAAGCACAAGCCAATCAGTTTTACTGGAGGACTTGCTTCACGTAATACTGCCACCAGAACAGCAGACTACAACCATGGAGTGATATTGACGAGATTTAGCGTTCTCGTAATCGAAATCCCTTGGGAGTAGCAGCACTATAATGCGAAGCTCTGGACCTAGGTACAAGGCTGATCGGATGGGTGGATAAGGTGCGGGAACGCTGAGAGAAAGCTGCGTTGAAGCCTGAATGTCAGGGTCAGGGTTCAGGGTCGTGGCCAGGTGTCAAGACTCAATAGTGATACTACCTACTCATTACCACTCGTACTCCGTAGTAATAATATGGTGAGACAGCCAGACAGATTGGAGGTTGGTTTAGCTCTAGACTCGGCTTCGGAGAGACGTGCGACGCCGCTGTCTCGCGCTGTCTCGCGGCCCAGGAGTATTAATTCCACGAACAGAACGGGGCTGACGGCATTATCCTCAGAGGATCGACCATTGTATCGACTGCAACAAGGCACTTTCAGCCATGGCTTCACTACTCTGCCCCAGCGTCTCTCTCGGCTTAGATGAAGGAGGGTGGCGAGTGGAAGTGGCGAGTGGCAAAAGAGCGGATAGTGCGCCACAGTGCGGCTCTACCGGCTGTCAGTGGCTGGAGGGCACAAGGTTTATGTTGGTACGAAGTAATCTGTAGTCTGGTAGTGATATATATTAGTGGTAATATGTATTGCTCGTAGTAGAATTAGTGGGTAATAATACCTGTACACGCAAAAATGATTGTAGGATCAGCCAACTAAAAAGCTCCCCCGAGAGGGAAAAAAAAAGGAAAAAAAAAATAAAAATAGAAGGAAGCAGAAAATGGAACTTTTTCGTCCCCAAACCCATTTTGGGTTTGACGACAATTGATAGGACTGGAGTCATCCTGTCATACACTCATATTCGCACTCGTTGTAGTCAAAGGGCGGGAATTAAGTCTCCGAACCCGGCGCTACTGGTAGCTGGACGGGCACAGGGTATGAGTCCCTAGAGAATATCATTGATAGTGATAATAGCACGTTGAAGCAACACTGATGCCTGCTGCTACCGTCGATACGCAGTGACATTTTCTCTGTATTAGTAATAAGATTACCTGTTATTGCTCGTACAGCGGCAAAAACAAGGTCCCGGACGAGGTTCTGCGGAGTTCGCTTTCAGACACACAGATGGCAAGTTTAGTTCCAAAGCCAAAGGCGAAAAGAGGAACCAGCATTGGACGGTCAATATGCAGGCAGTTGAATAGTAGCGACAGCCTGGGTCTCATCTATTGGGATACATGTACCGTAGTATGTGTAATTCTACTACTACTGCTACTACCAGCCAGTCACGGTAGTATATTACCACTAGTGGATCTGTAATCTGTAGATCTCGTCACGTCCAGTAGATATACATGCCATGCTGTATTATATGCCAAAGCCGAAAACCCTCAAAAGAGCTTGGTTGGAGGACCAACAACATGAGATGGAAAGAGCGGAGGTCAGCGGGGAAGACCTGAAAGGCTCAAAGAGGAGGAGGCGCGGGGCGGAAAAAAAATAAAAAAAGGCAAGGGAAAAAGAAGAGGAAAAAGAGGGGACCCAGACCAGCCAAGGCCAAGGGCCAAGTTGCCAAGGGAAAGGAAAAAAAAAAAGACCAGAAAGTTGCAGTGAAGGAGAAAAATCCCATTTTGACCAAAATCGCATTCAGGTCCAAAACTTACCAGCAGATTCCTCCTTCCCTAGTAAAGAGCAGTATTATTGGCAGCACCAACGCACATTTCCTCTCTCTCTCTCTCTCTCTCTCTCTCACAAACACTCTCTTCCTTCTCCCTCTCTCTGCCGAGCACCTCTTTGACCTTATCTTACCAGCAGATTCCTCCTTCCCTAGTAAAGAGCAGTATTATTGGCAGCACCCACACACATTTCCTCTCTCTCTCTCTCTCTCTCTCTCTCACAAACACTCTCTTCCTTCTCCCTCTCTCTGCCGAGCACCTCTTTGACCTTATCTTTTCTCTTTCCTTTATTCCTATCACTACTTTTTGTTTCCCCTCTCTCCCTCTTTTCCTCTCTCTCTCTACTCTCTCTCTCTCTCTCTTCCCCTGTCCCTCACTGCTACCCCTCCAACTCACTCATGCACCTGCAGAGGGGGAGACTTTGCTTGTCTCAATTCAACCTGCAGCCCACAGCCTAGCAGACTTGGTTCTGCTCGACATCCTACTCCATTCTGTCTCTGTCTCACCGATCTCGTCACATTCACACACACCAGCACTTGCGCCGTGTTCCGACTGCCGTCCCTCATCGGTCCGCCCATCTTCCTACTACGACTGCTACGACTGCTACGACTGCTACGACTGCTACTACTATTACTACTGCTGCTGCTGCTGCTGCTGCTGCTATTGCTACTACTACTATTATCGCTACCTCTACTAGTAGTATTGCCACCTCATACGGCTGCCGTCAGTGCTACTAGTACCTCTACTATCATTACTAGTATCATTGCGTACAGTCCTTCTTTCGTCTTTCGCCACATTGTAGCACTCATTACTTCTCCATCTGCCATCTCCCGTTCCGAAAAAGAAGAAAGAAAAAACCAACAACAACAACAACGACACAGGGTCCAGACCCTTTTCACCCCGCCAATATCTTTCCTCTTCCATACAGCTCTCCCGTGTGATTGGGGGGTATCCACATCCATCCCACCTCTTGAGATACCTCTGGAGAACCCCTCCAAGCTCTCGATACTGCCGGTGCCTTACCCTCGCCAATGCACCCGCAGAACCTCTGCTTGCGTACCGCTGCACCACGGTCATCATGGCACACGCTCCTCCACATCCGCCCGACGGCAGTGGCGCTGGCGCCAGAGGAGGACCGGGAGCTCTATATGGCTTTTCCGACTTTGACTTCGGCTCTTTCCAGGACATGACCGGCCAGACGCATGCCTCCTCGACCATGCCCATGGGCGACGCCGGCAACGCTCTCATGCTCGACAGCACCATGCTCGACTCGTTCACCGACATGCCCATCGACTTTGATCCCATCGACGGGAATGCCATGGCCGGCTTTGGCCCCGCCGGCTTGGATCCTGCTGCCACCAACGCCGCCGCCGAAAACCCTCCCGTCGCCGGCCCGATCGATAACAGCGCCGACGTCGCCGCCGTCGCCGCTGTCGCCGCCGCCGAGAACCAGTTTAACATTACCGCCAACAACGTCCCCGGCGCCGGCCCCTTGCCCGTAGCCTCGTTCGGCCAGGCCGGCACGGCCGGCGGTGGAACTGGCGGCAGCGGCGGCAGCACGGCCCTGACCGAGTTCACCAAGCGCCGCAATTGGCCCGCCAAGGTCATTGAGGAGGTCAGGGACCTGGTGCACATACTCGACGCGGACGGCCGGGTCAAGTATTCCTCGCCCAGCGTGACAGCCCTGCTGGGCTACGCGCCCGAAGACGTGCAAGACCGCCTGCTCAAGGACCTGATCCATCCGGGCGACCAGGGCGTCTTCGTGTCGGAGCTCAACGAGTCGATAGCGTCGGGCGCCTCCATGCGCATCTTCTACCGCATGCGCAAGAGCGACCAGTCGTACGTCGTTCTCGAGGCCACCGGCCACGCCCACATCGCTGCGGCCAAGTACGCCCCCAACCCGAACAACCAGTCGCCCTTCTGCCAGGCTGTATTCGTCATGGCCAGGCCCTATCCCACCAAGAATGCCGGTCTGCTCGACTCGTTCCTCGAGCACAAGGTGGAGAATGAGCGCCTCAAGCGCCGCATAGCCGAGCTGCGCATGGAGGAGGACGCCGAAAATGACGAGGCGCACAGGGACTGGCTCCAACGGAGGGAGTCGGATATATCTCAGTCGGGCAGCTTATCCAGGACCTCGGCCTCGGCCTCGGCCGACGGGTCTCGTACCGAGCGCGCAAACGCATCTGCTGCCGCCCTCAACGGTCCCCTGACCAGGGAGAACCTAGAGGGTGCATTCAGCAACGGCAACCGTCCGGACTCGCTGCGTGACAAGATGGTGCGGTACGAGGGCGCCTACACGGATACCATCGAGATGCTCACGGGCCTGCGATACGTCGAGGGGGAGCGGAGCAGAGGTATAACCACGGGCAACGCCAGCCCGACCTTGATCAAGGGGGATGCCGGTATTGCCATTCCGGTTGATAGGGATCCCAGGACGGGCGAGAAGAAGAAGAAGCTCAAGGCGTCGGAGGAATATGTCTGCACCGACTGTGGTATGGTTCCCCTCCCCTCCCTCTCACCCTCACACGTGCGCACCCTCTCTTCTCCGGGAACCAAGACTGACAAGGACCAAATAGGCACCCTCGACTCCCCCGAATGGCGAAAGGGCCCCAACGGACCGAAGACCCTGTGCAACGCCTGCGGTCTGCGCTGGGCGAAGAAGGAGAAGAAGAAGAATACCGGAAACAGCCATGCGCCTCCCTAGGAGACGCTAGGACAGGCATGACCGGGCGGGAGCACGGTACATTGTTCACAAGCACGATACGATGCAACCCGCGCACGCACGAATACACACGGACACACACACGCAGATACACGACATCTTACTCTTCTCACAACACAGTTCTGATTACACCTGACACACGACCCTTTTGCCAAATTTCTCTTCGCCCCCCCCCATATATACGACCTCTGGCTACTTTTTCTTCATCTTGGACATGTTCGCCTTGGACGTTCTTCGGATAACAGTGCTACACGGAACACACACACACACACACACATACACACACACATACATACACGCACACAACGTATGAGCGCAGCGAATTATACACGGGGAACAAAAAAGCGAGCGGCGTACGGCAGCGTTTGTACCTTTTTTGTCTTTCTCCTCTCTTATCTAACTTCTTCCTCTTCTTTTTTTTTTCCAAGTCATTTTTTGTCTTATAGAGGGCATACGTAAACGACTGGCGACATTCGGAGCAATACACGAGAACCAGGAACACGGCGGAGTATATTTTTGGTCTTTTTTTTTCTCTCTCTCTTGGCTTTTTTCCATCTTGTAACATGAATTTTTCTGTTGGCCTACGGTTCACCATGATTGATGGGAAGACAACACCCTCAGGGGGAACTGTGTATACGAGCCGGATAATCCCCCCCTTATATACAGCAGTTTATGAGAAACATTATACAGCAGAATTTCCACAGATGTAGACGTTATTACCTGCACATCACTACTTGTATGGAATGTGTAAGGGTCTAAGGGTCCAGCCTATCGGTCGGTCATACACTGCCGCACGGGCTGCCGATCACACGCGTTCTTGCTGCTGGTGTTTTAGCATATAACAGATAGTATCTACACCTTATCGAAAAGTAAAGACCCGTTGGCTGAGGTCCACTGCATCATCTGCATTGTTACCCGTATTCGGTATCAACGCCCCCTTCTTCCGGAACGTAGTTACGACGTCATCTGAATACATTGACATAAGCAGAGGCTGTGCACGAGGGTTTTTTTTTTTTTTTGGGAGGGGGGGGAGGGGGCAGAATGGGGAAGGAAACTTTGTCGGGCTGGGCATGAACTTTCCGGAGGCGATGAGGGCCCCCCCGCTGAATCCGTCCCCACCTGTTTGACTGAGCCACCGTGACCACTGACCGTTGGAGGGAGGGGGTCGTGCACTCTTTCCGAGGCGGAGTAGCGTATATATATTATTAGGTGCTTTTTCACGACATGTGCTAATACCATATTAGTATATACGGCGTACTCCGTACGTATGAAAGGAACTTGAAAGGAACCACTCGTACACGATATCACAAAACAACAAAAAAGAAAGAAAAAAAAGAAAGTCAAATGGAAGAGATGAAATGACTTGTATCCTTGCATCCGTGGAGGAAGGAGGGTCTCTATGTGATGTTCTGCGTGTCCAAAACTCGAGCTGGAGCGTACGAAGGTCACGTGAAACGAACCGAGGCATGTCGTCACTCTGCTACGAGCTCGTAGCTCGTAGCTCTGTTGAGCATCACAGCATTGTATTATGCCTCACGACACTGCACTGCGTGGTTGGATCGGATTTTGAGCGTCATCCGTCTGGACATCTTTCCCTCTTCTTCTAGTATTCGGGTAAGAGGAGCAGGAAGAGAACAATGTCCCCGTCCTCGTTTGCCGACTATCCCGAGCCCGTCAAGGCTGGCGAGGCCAGATACAGGAGTCTGCCGGAACCCAACCCCAAGCTCCACGGTCTTCCTCTGGTGCTGGTGGCCAATGTGTAAGATTCCTGGGCATGTGTTATCCGATTGAGCGAACACAGGCACACGCACACGCACATGACCAGTGAATAGTAACAATGCTCTAGGATGACACGGGTCAATGCTGTACCGAATTTCTTCTGGAGCAATGCTGGCTTCGGGACCATCAAGGACATGCCTGAGTTGGACGATGTGCCATTCCGATTCCACGCAAGTCTCTTCTCCTTCTCTCCTCCTCCTTCTTCTTCTCTCTATCTCTCTCTCCCCCCCTCTCTCTCTATCTGTGCTCTGCTCTGCCATGCTTGATTGGCTGACAACCTCCCAGCCAACCGTCACCCCTCTGGGCGACAACACCATGCTCGACTTCGAGCCGGAGCTTCTCGAGAGCAAGAGGGCCACCGGCGCGAACGGTGCGAACTACTACTCGGCCGCCGACTACCACGCCATGTACCGGTCTGGCAAGGTGACGCCCCTGCAGGTGACGCAGACGCTCCTCGCCGTCACAAAGAAGGGTCAGGAGCCGCGCAGCCTGTATGCCGACGCGTGGGCCGACTGGCACGGCAAGGAGTCGCTCGCGCTCGAGGCCGCCCGCGCGTCGACGGAGAGGTACGCCGCCGGCGAGCCGCTAGGCGTGCTGGACGGCGTGCCCATCGGCGTCAAGGATGACACGGACGTCAGGGGGTACGTCAGCCATGTTGGTATGAAGTACAAGGCTGGCCTGGACTTCTTCAAGGAGAGGGAGAGTACGATCTGGTGCGTGCAGAAGCTGGAGGAGGCAGGGGCGGTTGTCCTGGGCAAGAATTGCATGCACGAGCTGGGATCCGGTGAGTTCCGTGCCTCCACCCAGGAAAAAGAAGAGAAGAGAGGGAGAGGAGCGATGCTGATGACTACGGATGGCAGATACCAGCGGCCTCAATGTAAGGCAGAACAGAACCAGCTACGGGAAGAAGGAACAGAGGGAACAGAGGCACGCTGACATACCCAACAGGTCGCTCAAGGAACGCCTACGAACCACTACAACAAGTCGTACTACACGGGCGGGTCGACATCGGGCGGGGCATCAGCGCTGGGGGCTGGCATCGTGCCCATCGTGGTGGGCTCGGACGCGGGGGGCAGCATCCGCATCCCGGCGACGTTCAACGGCGTGTATGGGCTGAAGCCGAGCCACAACCGCACGGGCTTCTTCAACATGACGATGGCGGTGCGGGGGCCCCTGGCGGCGTCGGTGGCGGACCTGCGGATCGCGTACCGGCTCATGTCGCAGCCGGACCCGGCGTCGGCGGTGCAGCGGCTGTTCGCGACGTCTAGGCGGCCGGGGCCGGATGCGGAGCGGGTCATGGGGGTGTACCGCGACTGGTGGGCGGACGCGGACCCGGAGGTGGTGCGGATCTGCGACGCGGCCGTGGAGCACCTGGCGTCCAAGCGCGGGTACCGGGTGGTGGACATCTCGATCCCGCACGTGGCCGAGGCGCGTACGGCGCACCAGGTGCTGTGCATCACGGAGATGGCGGAGCTGCACCGGCGGCGGGCGGCGGGCGACCCGGCGGGGTGGACGGGCCTGGTGGGCGCGGCCAACAGGATGGTGCTCAGCGTGGGCATGCGCACCCCGTCGGCCGACTACCTCAAGTGCAACGCGCTGCGGGAGCTCATGATGCGGCACGTGGCGTCGCTGTTTCGCGAGCACCCGGGCCTGCTCGTCGTCACGCCCACGTCGCCCATGGTCGGCTGGCCGCGGGACCCGGCCGAGGAGGCCTACGGGTGCAGCGACACGAACCGCACGGTCCGCAACATGATGTACATCTTCCTGTCCAACATGACGGGCGCGCCGTCCGTCTCGGCCCCGGCTGGCTACGCCCGGCCGCCGGCCGGCCGGGGGGAGGGCGACGGCACCCTCCCCATCGGCCTCATGGCCATGGGAGAGTGGGGCGCGGAGGAGCAGCTGCTCGACTGGGCGGCCGAGGTCGAGGATTACCTGCTCGGCTCATACGAGGGCGGCAGACGCCTGCCCGAGACGTGGTTTGACGTGTTGGGGGAGGCAGAGGCAGCCCAGAAGAACGACGAGTAGTAATCACTAACCACTACGGAGTCGGTATATGTAATAATACCCGTAGCATCATTGCAGAGAAGAGGAAGAGAAGAAGAAAAGGGAGGGTGCACTCGTATTTTTTTTTTTTTTTTTGGGGGGGGGGGGGGGGGGGGGGGGCTATGATTGCTACGTATTCGTTCTCTTCTCGTTCTTCGTATCTGCTTATCTGCTCGTATCAAACTGTTATGTGCTCTAAGATATGCAAGGCCGTCTTTTCTGAATATCGATACAGAGTACAATAATCCGTATTCATTGGCTATCGGCGCTATAAATAACTGTGCGCTTTTTCTTCTCCTTTTTCTTCTCTACATGTACGAGCACGCCGTAGGGCTTTTTTTATGATGGTATGCAATAATATTCCTGCCGCTTGAGCGTGAGGCTGGGGGGGGGGGGGGAGAGAGGAATTCGGCTTGCCAGTCTACACATACGAGTACTATGTATTATAATATGTAATAATACAATCGCACACGAGGCGGCATTCCTAAGGCGTACTGATGACGCGTAGACTGGTACGAATACGAGTACAAGATATGTAATACGGGAGTAGTCACCAGTGTGTACGACTCGGAGTAAATGTAATTGAAGTTAAAGCACTCGCAGCATTACCAGTATTACGAGGCAGACTGGGGGATGGGGGAAGGGGGGGGGCGCTCGGAGGTTAGAGATCAACAGGAAGGGGAATGTGTGTGGCACTTTTTTTTTTTCCGTCTTCCTTTTTCTTTTCGTTTCTTTTCTTTTTTTTCGTCTTGGAATTTTTTTATAGTTTTTAGTTTTACGCCGCCCAGGTACAAGTCCAGGAACGGGCGAGAAAGAAGTGGTTCTTTTTTCGTGCATGTCTTTGCGTAATATTCCGCTGTACGAGATGAGATAGTATTAACCCTGTACGGATTAACATGTTACTCCGTGGCAACGAATACATATTGGACAGAGAGTGTTGAGCACAGCAACGGCAAGGCAACGGCCACCTGCAGCTTACCGGCAAGTAGACGCATAAAGACGCACGGTATGGTTGGGTAGAGAGGACAGGGACGAGTAATATAAAGTGTTATTAAAGTGATTCTCCAAAATTAGTTACCCTCGGGGGAGAAGGCGCAAATACGTGTGTACATGTACAGATTATCCGTACAGGATATTTCTGATGGATAGGGAGAGCTGAGAGCCCATGGAGCTGCCCATGGCAAGGAGGAGGTCCCAGCCTCGGGTAGCCGACAAGCCGCTGTCGGACGACCCCTGCAGGAATAATAAGTGGGCACCGACTCCCCCTGTATTAAGCCTGTCAGGGCCGTCCATCCAGGGAATCCACTGTTAATTGGCTTTGGGGGGAGGGGGAGGGGGGTTTGGCCCTGCGAGAAGCATTGATCCCGACAGCCTACTTGGTTTGGTGTACGAGTACAGAGCACATGCTTAGTTACATATAACTCGTACAGGGCGTATTACCGATGTGCCTGGCCCCGTACTGCACTGTATTCTGTCGTTACTGCTGCTAGCCTAGGCCCTGGACTCTACCGGTACGGGCAGTATGGATCAACGTCTCCAACTCTCTTACCCAGTCGCCGTTTCAGCCTGGTCACCCAAGACTTTGCAATGCCAGCACTCCGTACCCGCCTTCTCCGTACCAGTAGAGGGAAGCCCCATTCCTGTGTGTGCTCATCCCAGTCCCTTCCCTCTGCTGACCGGCTGGCAGGATCCTCTCTGGATCCTTCCAGAGTACGAGTACGAGTGCCAAACGGTCCCTGTCCTCCCCTCCCCTCCCCTCCCCTCCCTCTCCACCCCCGGGGGCAGAGAGGACAGAGCACAGCCGCAGCAGCAGCAGCGTCATTGCAACAAAACTCTCCTTCTCTTTTCCTCTTTTTTTTTTTTCCTATTTTTTTTTCCATTTTGTCCTTTTTACCTTTTCCATCTCACTCATTCTTTTTTTATCCTGTCGTATCTCATCCCTCTCTCCCCCCCCCCTCCTCCTCATTGTTTGGCTTGCGCTGGGCGCAAACCACAAACCACGTCACTCGCTTTTTGACAACAGGATACACACACATACACACATCTACGCGCACGCACGCACGCTCACTCGCATATCCAGCGACATCTCCCATCGAATAGAATAAACGATTCCGTGACTCTCGGTCAAGGGTCCCCTTCGTTGCCCACTGTGGCTACCCGCCTCGACACCCGTAGCGGCTCCAGACGTCCGAGCTCGTCGGATCACGGGTCCCCTTACGCCTCTCAACCTCCCAAACTATACGACCCGACCGACCACGCCGACCTGCCCTCGTACCCTCAACCGGCCTACTCGCAGCAGCAGCAGCAGCAGCAGCAGCCGCAGCCTCCTCCCATCGACGCCCCCTACGTCCCGTCCCCTGCCTATTCGGAATCCGCCGTCCCCATGGATCAGCCGACATACAATGCCGGAGGGGGGAGGTACTCGCCCCCCCCGCCGTCGTTGCATCCTTCTAAGCCCAGGGAGAGCTACTTTGGCTTCATGAGCAGCAAATGGGCGGCCGTCTTCATGGGTGCCACGGCCATTCAGGCTGTCATCTGCCTGTGCTTTGAGTCGTATGTCCCCCCCATCTCTAGCCGGTGACGTTGCGTCATACAATGCAAATCTCATCGTGACGAGTAGTCGAAGAAGGAGATGAGGATGAAGAACCAAGCTCACATGCACGCCACGAATAGATACGTCTTTGCCGCCTTCCAGCCTACCCTCCGAGAGAACAAGGACCGTAACCTCAGGGACCTCGACTCTCAGTACAAGACCATCCCCACCTTCCTCTCCCTCTTCATCTTTGGCTTCCTGTACGAGCTCGTCGTCGTCTGGGACGCCCTGCGTATGAAGAACACCATCCAGGTCATGGGAGTGTGCTTCGCCAACCTCGCCCTCGCCGTCTACACGGCCATCCAGGTCGACCAGATCAGCACGTCGCTCGACGTCCTGGAACAGTACAATGCCCTCAAGTCCGGGTACACGGCCCGGGGCATCTGGGCTGACATCCGCCCCTACCTGATCGCCATCCCCAGCATCATCGCCGTCTCCACCGTCTTCATGGTCTTCCTCGCCTGGAGGCTGTACCAGGAGTTCGCCTGGGACGTGCTCAAGATCATCGGTGCCGACTACCGCATGAAGAAGCGCTTCCTCCACTACCAGATCTACATCGCCCTGCTCAAGTTCGACTTCTTCTTCTTCCTCGGCTTCATCATCCAGCTCGTCGTCATCGTCACCGAGACGAGCGACCCCGAGTTCGCCCTGACCATTGTCACCATACCCATCACCGTCCTCATCCTCGTCGGCGCCGGCTACTTCACCCGCATCGAGAACAAGATCGGCATGGTCATCGTCATCATCTTCTACCACGGCGGCCTCGTCTACTTCCTCTTCAAGCTCGTCCGTATCTGGACCTGGCGCTCCTACTACGAGGCCGTCCAGAAGTCCCTGACCGCCTTCGCCGTCATCACCATCCTCCTCATCGTCCTGACCATCATCAACGCCGTCGTCTGCATGGTCAACTTTGGCCGCGGCCTCAAGCCTCACATCCAAATGTCCCTCCACAGGCGCAAGGAGGTCGAGGACCCGACCGTCGCCTCTGTTAGCCTACACGACGTCAAGCCTCTAGCTAGCCGAATGACGATTGACTGAGTTCCATCTCTGCGCTATCTCTGTCTGTTCAGACGACGACGACAGCAACGACAACAGCAACGAACAGAACAGAACACACACAAAAAGATGAGGGAGAGAGGAAGAGAACCGAGGATGGAACAAGACCGCACATATACGAAGTTACGAAACCACACAGTTGAGGCAGGGCCCGACACGCACAGACCCAACAACGAGGATAGTTGGCGACGACGACCAAACAGAAAACAATACATGAGTCGGCGACGACGACATATCGAAGAAGACAAAGAAGAGAGAACAAAAAAACCAAGAAAGAAAAAAAAGTAAGCTGGGCTTGACGAAACCCAGTTCCTTCCATGATACCATATTTACTATTTGCTCTTATTTCGCGGGACATGTCAAAGCGCATCATTATATCTATCCGTTTCTTCTATCTTGACTAGGTCCCCGGGACAGAGTTTTTCTTTTTTTTGGGGGGGATATTTTTCTTTCCTTTTTTTCTTTACCTATCTTTTTTATTTATTATTATTATTATTTTGCCAGAGGTGCCCGTTATTATGTTTCATCTGCTTGTTTCTACCAACCAACCATCGTCACTCCTTGGGGAAAGGGAGGGGGGACTTTAACCATTTTCTTGTTTTTTATACATGGTACATGTATGTACTAGACAATGGGGGAGGAAACCGACCAAATCACTTCAATTCTCAAGGTCCCCTATTCTTCCTGACCCCCCCGTCTCTTCATCCACTATCAATCCTTCTTCCTCTCTTTTCTTCTTCTTTCTTTAGAAGACAAATAATCACTTTTACCTATTGTTGCATGCATTACGACTCGGATATCGTACGAGCATCAAACTTTGCCAAGAAATATACATGGGAGCCGGTCCCTCTGAAGTATTTTTTTTTCTGAAACCATTCTCACACAAGCGGACGGGTTTACTCTTTCGAGGCAGGTTACAACGCAACATTACGACGTAAATGACGTATGACGGATCAACTCGGGTTGGCAAGTCTTGACTGTTTTCCACGCGAAGTTGGTGAGGGCTGGGTGTATATTGCGGAGCAGAATGACGGCAAGTTGACGACTCATAACGTGTACGGGTGAGTACATGTCAATAATCCATCCGTTAATCCATTGTTATCAACACCTTTTTTTTGGGTCCAAACAGCGACAATTTATTTGCCCTGGTAAAGAAAATAAGAATAACGATGAGACACCTATGAACGCCTGTTCAACGCCCAGAAGAAGATTTGAAGCTAGAAAAGGCAAGAGGAGAAGATGAAGGAAGAGAAAAGAAAAAGAAGAGAAGGAAAAAGGAGGGAAAGAAAAGAAAAGACAGATGGGAGGGTAGAGTAGGAAAGAGGAGAAGAGAGAAAGAGGAGGAGGAAGAGGAGGAGGAAGGAGGATGGGGAAAGCCGAGGAGTGCAATTGATGGAAATCATAGATAGATGCGTAAAGTATCACTGATGTAACCTTCTACAGGACAGTAAGGACACTTGTACCGCGGACCCTTTGCGATGTTGTGCAGGCTCTCTCGGGAGATGACGTGGCCGCAGGACAGCATGATGGGCGGGTTGGCCTCGGTGGTCTGCTCCTTGCTGACGGGGCAGACGAAGATGGGGTGGTAGATCATGGAGGCGGGCAGGGGGGTCTCAAAGGCCAGCTCGTTCTCCGTGGTCCACTCGGTCCTCTTGTCCCTCAGGTAGCCGGTGAACTTGACGAGGCGGGGCAGGCTGATGGCGCCGGCCGTCACGGCCACGTACAGCGGGGACTCGGCCGACAGGCCGAGCAGGGAGCAGAAGTCCCGGGTGAAGGACAGGGCCACGTCGTCGAAGGCGGCATCCACCTGGAACAGGTGGCCGTAGGGTGAGTCGCGCAGGTTGGGCGCGTACACCACCGCCGCGCACAGCTGGGCGATCTCCTTTAGGTGCCGGCGCTGGAACGGGGCGAAGTGCCGGCGCGAGTAGTCGAACGCCTCGGCCTGGGCCCGTGCCGCTGCCGATTGCGAGCCGGCGTCGCTGCCGGGCGCCGAGGGCTGGCGGCCGCGGAACAGCCAGATGAACTGGAGCCTGCTGAGGTCGAACTCCAGGCTGCTGCCCTTGGCTTCGAGGTCCCTGCTGTGGATGCGCGCCCACTCGATGGCCGGGAGGAGGTTGTTGGACCGGAGCTGGTCTAGTATCTCGTACATTTCCATGAAGCGCGTGCGGAGGTCGTTGTCGTTGGCATCCATGTCCAGATCTTTGTCGTCGTCGTCGTCCTTGTCACCCTTGTGCACATTGATGTGACCGTTGGCCTCCTGGTCTTGCCTGACTTCCTCGCGAAACGTCTCGGCCACGGAGAACTGGCCTTCGCGGAGGAGGTGCATCGTTATGGCGTGGTTGATGCTGTCGGCGTATTGCGCCATTGTGTCTAGTTGTGTGGGTAGCTCTCGTACTGGCATAGCCTTGGGGATTGCCATGTTAGTAGTGCTCGTGTTTCTTTTCTTCTTCTTCTTCTCCTCTTTTTGTCGCCTCTCATCTTTCCCTTGATTTCGTCGACGGAGAGAGAAGATGGCGGAAGGGGAGACCGGCATACCTTATCTAGAGCTTTACCAAAACTCCTCTGCGCCTTTGTCACATCCTTTAAATCGTCCGTTATGGCATCCAGCCGCTGCCTCACCGGATTCTGCAACGAGGTCATGGCTGAAGACACCTTGTGCGAGTAGAGCTCCGGATCGCCCGAGTCGTCGGCCTCTGTTGTCCAACATACAAGAATCAGCAACTGCTATGCTGTCTTCCATCCCGCCCAGACGGTGTGAGCGGGGGCGGGGAGGTGAGAGGGATGCGTCATACCCTGTGCGACCTGATCTCTGGTGGACTGGAGCAGCTCAATCACCTTGTCGACATCGTCTATGGCGGCCGTGAGGTTGGACCTCCTCATCCGGGCCAGCTCGGCTTCGAGCGGCTTGAATGGCGAGGCGGCCTGCTGCTGCTGCTGCTGCTGCTGCTGTCCGGATTCGAGACCAAGCATGATGACGGTCTGCCCTATCTCCCTGTTTCTTTCTTCTTTTATATCGAGTACAGAGTTTTTGAACCAGGTACCTGTCCTGAGTCGTAAAGTTGTTCTCTTGGCTGTGTTCTCTCAGGCTGGCATGCAGTGGCAGTGGGTTGGGAGGGGCGGAGGTCCAATATCGATAGCTGTAGACGACGCTGCGCCGGTTGGGCCCGACAAATGACGATGATGAGCACTGGCTCGACGGTTATTATCGATAACAGCCGACGTATGCACGAAAGCAAGTTATGTAAGAAGGTGGGGGGGTATGTATTAAAGCAGGTTATTCCCAAAAAGCTAAGGGACATGATTTTAGACTGTGCCGCTGCTGTGCCCATAACCACATGTCAATGAATCATGCTACCAGTTATGACGGTATTGTGCCGATTCTTGTCCTCCCCCCCTCCCCCCCTTCTTTTCTTCGGCATGTCAGGTGAGAGATGTATATATCTCCCTCCCCTGAAATGCCAACCATATATACAGCATTAACATAAAAGAGGTGTCTTGAATCCTGCAATGTGCGTCGGAATCTACCACCAATTAGCCTCAGCCGTGTACCTCGTGTTCATAATAATGCCACTGCCGAAAGCTTGGCCTGCGCTGCGGGGCAGCTAAAACCATTGAGCTCAGCTAGAGATATTTAATACGGGGAAATCATATTAATGCATCCGGCCCTCTACTCCGTCATCGCCCTCCCTCTTCTGTCTCTTGCATAACACAATCCCTCCAACAACCGCCCGGTTCACAACAGCTGCCTCCACAACAGCTGCACACGCGCACACCCACACAAGGCCCTGGCTACATGCTCTGACCTGTCGACTTGCCTTGTACGAGAATGCCCTGCTGTGCCAGATTAGAGGGGCTCCACCGCCGGTGACGGCGACGACGCAGACAACATGAGCTTCTCCATGCCCTTACCCTTGCCCACGGTCTCGGACCGATCTGGCCCATACCATCGACATTCCGACAGCCAGAACTCCATCAGCAAACCTTCCGCGACGACCATGCAGCGGACCCTACGAGGGAGCGCCTCAGCTGATTCTGGGACGATCACCGATCCTGCCTCCCAGACCGCTCCGGCACACGGCCCCTCTGTCCCGCGCAAGAACATCGTCTTTCCCGACCCCGTCGCCTTCCGGTATGGCGACCAGACTGCTAGAGGCAAACACTGTCGCAAGCTAACATGCCACCCTCCCCTTGATTCAGTTATCTTGAAGAAGACCCGTGCGTCACCGTCGTCGAACGTCGTGGGTCCCTTCGCGGATACGAACTATATCTCGTCGAACAGTGGGCGTGCTCTCGAGAGTCGCCGACCTTGGTCATCGTGGCATATACGGGAGACGAGGCGCATTCCGTCATTGCCGGTGTACTGTCCGTCCCCGTCGATGAGGAACTGTGGTCGGCACGGTTACGCGTCTACTTCAGAGCCTCGAGAAAGTATCTCGCCCGCCCCAAACAGACCGACCTTGGGGAGCTTATGGTTACCAACTTGAGCAGCTTCCCGTCTGCGCTCACCGTCATACCCGTTCCCGATGGCGACATACGGAAACACCGCGAGATCTTTGTCGTCAACGAGAACCTCAAGAGGATGGGGTGCGCCGGCCGTGCTGGCCTGACTCTGACTGAACCCACCGAGGGTACGCGCACGAAGTTCTTGTCCGTCTACAAGGTGTCCGATCGGATACCTTTCCTTGCGGCCGTCGTCGAGCTGGTTAAGCTCTGTCAGGTGGCGCTCTACCTGTTTGAAAAGATTGAGCCAGAGTACATTGACGGGCTGCTGTGCGATGTGACGGAGAAGGCCATAGGTAACTGGTGGACGGAGGTGGGCGCGGAACACTACAACTTTGAGTCCAACGACGGCATCCTGGGACCCACGACTGTGGCTGCGCTCCTCGGCATGCTGATGGGCGCGAGGAACCGACTCTACTGGTGCGGTGCCCCCGTCGGCAAGGACGTCTTCGACGTTGAGAATACGAAGCGAGGGATTGCGTACTTTCAGAAGCTGTCGAAGCTGGAGAAGACACGACGCCTGGACCGGCCAACACTGCTCAAGCTCCACCTCACCACGGCCAAGGCTGCTGCCGGTGATGGGTGGGGAGTGCCCAAGGCCGTCAAGTCGAGAATGACGGAGATTGGCGGAAAGAGAGGCGAGATTGTCATGGGCATGGTGTCCGGTAAGGACAAGGGTGGTCTCGCCGATGTGGAGACGCTAGACATTGATACGTTCATAAGTTTTGCCTATGGCGGACGAGCGAAATGGCTCTGGTTTGGCAAGCCTCGCCCGACGACTACAGACTCGTCGAACCAGGATATCGATCGGGCGAACCCGAGTTTCGGCGCGGATGAAGATCGGCTCCAGCCTATCTCACGCATCCGGACTCAGCAGCCAGACGACGAGCCCGAGGCGAAGCGGAGAGATGAGCTGCTAGCCCCGTACTCAGACGCCGGCGCACCAGGACCGGCCACCGGTGCGACGGACAGCTCCTTGAGCAGAGACCCATCACGCAGGAAGGTACTGAAGAATGTGGCTGGCAAGATGAGCGACGCCAGGTCGGGACTTGGTCGCATCAAAGACGCTGTTGGCGGAACTCGTCGTGGACATGGCTCCCGGCTATCCGTATCCGCAAGGGATGACATGCCGGAACAAAGGGACAGTCCAGGCCAATTTCAGAGCCAGGGCCAGAGCCAGGTCGGTGTCTCGAGCTCTATCCAGGACTCCGCCTTCTCATCCACATCGGCCCTCAATGGACCAAACAGGGCTTTCACCTGGAAGAACAAACCAGAAGAGTATGTGGCCGGCAGGAGACGTAGCGAGCACCAGGAGTCCTCATCGCATATCCTATCAGACGATTCGCAGTATCCGTCGTCGTCCGCCGCGACGTCGACGAAGCTCAGACAGCAGCAGGAGCACCAACAGCACGAATTGGATGCCAAGCTCAGACAGATAAGCTCGGACTCAGACGCACGCAGAGACGTGGGCCCGTCAACGGCTGCCTCATCAATATATGGAGGAAACGATGCGGAGGGCGGAGCGCCACCGCTAAGTGCCGAGCCTCGAGGCGGAGAGGGCGAGATGCCGGGAAACCTAAGCCGCCGCCATAGCATGGAGGTAGCGCAGCTGTCTCTGAAACACGCCTTCAACGAGGACCGGTGGTCGCGGCGCATGTCATTCGGCGACGCCGAGGAGGCGGTCCTGACGTGGGACGACGTGGTAGACATCGAGGAGCTGACGTCGACGTCGGGCTCGGCGTCTGGCGGTGGCGGCGTCAACCTAGGCGGCGTGCTCGCCATGGCCGAGTACGCCCGACAGCTGAACCAGAGCATAGACGACATCACGACCAACCTGGAGCCGTGGGTGGAGGAAAAGATGCGGGCGGTAGCTCTGCTGGACTCCCGCTTCGCGCGAGAGAAGGAGGACCTGCAGCTCCTGTACCACCGCCTCGACGAGGCCTGCCAGCGGGTGCGCTTCAACTCGGAGGAGATCCTGGCCAACGAGCGGTCGAGCCTGACGGAGAGCGCGAAGGATATCGAGGTACTCGTGGCGCGGCTCGATTACGAGATTGACGCCCTGGTGCAGAAGGTGGCCGACGTCGAGGACGCGATCCACAACTTTGAGAGGCAAGTCGACGAGCTGGAGAGGAGCGCGGCCGAGCTCAAGGTTCTACTCGAGACGGAGAGCTGGCCGCTCTGGCTGGTACGGATGCTCACAGGCGTAGGGATTGGGCCCAATATAACCCAAGGCAATTCATGATTCGATTTTTGCTCCTTCCTCCTCCGCTTCTTCTTCTCCTTGCCCCCCCCCCCCCCCCCCTTTTTTTTTTCCTTCTTTTTTGCCATAGTAGTCATCGCCATTATTCATCATAGCTCAAGTATTGGCAGGTCTGAAGAAGGAGAGGAAAACAGTTTATAGAATAGGATCTTTACACATAATGTAAGCATCGATTTCTTCAGTTCCTTGGTTCTCTTTCATTCCATAGCGGATAGATTTCGTATCTCAAATGTTCTAGACTCTCAATACCAAACATATAATGTTACACGCCCGATATATGGGTTTTCTACCCCCCTTCCTCCCCCCCCAAAAAAAAGAAAGCGCATGACCGGTATTGTCATAGCTATAGACACCTTTTTTTCATATCTCCCATAACACTAATCGTACACGACTGACGAGATCTTTTTTCTTCTCATGTTATCCATGTCGCGAGCCAACGAAAACAAGCAAGAATTCGAAGTTGACGCGGCGGAAAGGGGTAAAATCAACAAGTCCGACAGCGGGACACACTTGGCCCCCCTCCCCCCCTCATTAGTACGGTAGTGGGTTTAAAAGAGACCGCCGCCGCCGCCCGGAGCGGCACCGTTGGCCTGACCCTGCTGCTGCATGATCTCGCTAATCTTGATGGACGCGTCGAGGAACTTGGCGGTGCAGCGGTCGAGGCAGACGGACTCGCCCTTGTTGAGCTCGCCCTCGCGGTAGTCGGTGGGGATACACTTCTTCTGACAAGTGTTTTGCAGACTAGATTGTGTTTTTTTATAAATCTTCTTGTCAGATGCCTGCGTCTCTTCTCCTTCACCCCACGTCCTTTTTTTTGTGGATTTCATTCGGATCTATCTTTTTAGGGGGCAAGAGAATCAATGGGGGGTTGGTTCCAAGCTTACCGGTTGTAGGTATCGGCCATCATGCGCATCTCTCCCTCTACGGCAGCAATCTTCTGCTCCGATGTAGGTTGAGGACGTCCCATTCCGAGGAAGGACATGGTTTCGGTCGTGTGTGTGTATATACGGGTTTGGTGGGATGATAGAGGGACGGGGAATCAGATGGTTGGTGTGGTTGGTGCTTGTTGTAGGAGAGAAAGAAAAAAAACATAAGCTGGTTTTGGCGGGAAGAAGTAAAGATTGCCGATAGGACAGCTTTGATATGATATGGATTATCTCCTTATCAGGGAGCTGGAAGAGATTTACGTCACGTGCTGGGATTTCTATGGGGTATTACTACTCATACGTACGGAGTAGTCAGCTACTCATATATAATACCACTCCGTATACTCGTATGTATAATCTGTACATTATTATACGCCGTCGAATCCCTATAGGGTAAGCAGTAGTGCTTTTGGGAACGTATAAGGAAGGGCGGGGAGGCCGTAGTTTTCTTAGGGGACGGACAAAGGAGAAATAACACGATAACAGAGATGGAAAACCCCTTCCTTTCCTTCTCGATAATTCCTTTCCATAACTCCTCTTCGTTCAAGTGAAGGCCCTTCAACGATCAATATATCCGTATGTGGACTGATACAGTCAAAGATCACATGATACCCTGCGACGATATCTGGGATTCCCAAGAGACGAGCGTTTCTTTGAACTGATTATTTTCATTACCCAAAAGTGCTTTACAATATCCCGTGTAACTGCTAAAAAAAATTTAAAAAAATTACAAGCAAGGAAAAAAAAAGAAATACCCCCCCCCCCCCGAGAAAGCATTATCCATAGCAACACCATTTTCCCTCAACCCACGCCATAAGACATGAAATACATACTCGAGCATCTCAGTCATCAAACGTGACATTCTTGGTCCAGAGCCACTCCTGCAAACCAGACATTGTACCGAAGCGCCCAAATCCGCTTGACTTGACACCACCATGAGGCAAACCAGGCTCATCATGAACGCTCATGTGGTTGATATGCACGGCGCCTGACTCGATCTGCCTCGCAAAGCGCAGGCCCCGTCGCAGGTCGGCGGTGAAGACGGCCGAGCTGAGGCCGTACTCGGTGTCGTTTGCGATGCGCACCGCCTCCTCCTCCGTCGACACGGTGATGAGGGACACGCTGGGACCGAACGACTCGGTGAGGTAGATGTCCATGTCGGGCGTCACATCACCGATGATGACGGGCCTCATCTCGGTGTCGGACAGCTCCTCGCCGTGGGCGTCGACGTCGCCGTGTAGGACCGTGGCGCCCTTCGACACAGCGTCCCGCACGAGTTGCTTGTTCTTGTCGACCGCCACCCGGCTGATGAGGACGGGCGCCTCTTGCGCGGGCGGGAAGATGGCGTCGACGGCGCCCTTGAGCTTCTCGACGAAGGCGTCCCTGACCTTTTCGTGGACGAGGATGCGCTCGGTGCTCATGCAGATCTGGCCCGAGTGCATGAACGACCCCAGGGCGCACTGCGTCGCCGCCACGTCCAGGTCCGCGTCGTCCCACACGATGGCGGGCGCCTTGCCGCCCAGCTCCAGCAGCGTCGGCTTCAGGTTCTCACCCGCCAGCCTGGCAATGATGCGGCCCACGCGCGTGCTGCCCGTAAAGTTGATCTTGCGCACGCGCCGGTCCGAGATGAGCGCTGCTGTGATGGACTCTCCGCTCGCCGTCTCGTGGGTGAGCGTGTTCAGGACGCCCTTGGGGAGGCCAGCTTCGTGGAACACCGAGGCGATCGCCCACATGGTCTTGGGCGCCATCTCGGTCGCCTTGAGCACCACCGTGTTACCGGCTGCCATGGGGAACAGGACCGCACGGGTTCCGAGAATGTAAGGGGCGTTCCTGCGCGGCTTCATGTTAGTCGTGCTGCGAGAGCAGACTGAGACTGGAAGCTGGGCAGCAGCACTGCTACTGACCACGGGGCGATGGCGACAACGACGCCATAGGGCTCGCGCATGATGATGCAGCTGACATCTGCTTTCTGCGTGGCTGGGAAGGAGCCCTCAATGCTCGAGATTCGACCGGCGACATCCTTGATCATGCCGATAGCTACACCGATGTTGAAGTTGGCCCACGGCTCGAGCCCACCAGTCTCCTCGGCCAGGTACTCGGCCAGCTCGGACCGTCGTCTCTCCATGATCTGTGCGGCCTTGAGGAAGATGTCTCTTCTCTCAGCAGGCCTAGTCAGCCGCCAGGCCGGGAACGCAGCATGGGCTGCAGCGACGGCCGACTGAGCATCGTCGAGGCTGGCGTTTCCGCAACGATGAATCACCTTGCCCGTTCTAGGAGAGACGACGTCAAAAGACTTATCCGGGTGGTACTCTTCACCGCTAATGAACAAGGGCACAGTGTCACCCATGGGGACGGCGGAGGGAGACATGATGGCTGTGAGCAGCAGCGTTCTTCTCCCTGATGACGTGAGAGAAGGAGAGGGAGAGAGAGAGAGTATATAAAGGTCGAAAATGCCAGAGAGGGGAGGCGGTAAATACATATATATATGGGAGCGGAATATCGCCACGCGTTATCTGGGTCAATACTAACGTTATGGTATCCGTAAGGGATGAATTCCCAATGCCTATAAGAGCTAGTCGTACAACGGACCCCCTCTTCTAACGTTGTAATATGAGTAGTCGTCTACGCATAAGACACTATATAGTCTGACTGCAGAGCGGCGAATCCTGATTCATGGCCCTCGGTGAATTTTTTTGTGGCTCCGCTCTGCCAACGGTCATCTTACTCGTATATCTATCTACCTTGAGGTACCGAGCTTCTTGGCACCGGGTATCGCTAACGGAGACTGGTGATGCCTCGTTTGGGGTCCCCGGCCTCAGCGGTGTGGCTGGCAGCTACAGATACGCGCAACCCGCTCCCCCAGGCTGTTGACCTGCGCACGAGTATTAGTACTCTTTTGACTCTGGGACCGATAGCATAGTCTGGGGAACCGAGGGTCGTCATTGGCACTAACACGGCCACGCAAGGGGCGGGGAACGGGCAAGATTTTAACCGTTGGGTAGAGGGAAGAGGCGTTTGGTCATTGTTCATATACGTAACAATGGGTACATGGAGGCTCCGCCTAAAATCCTTCCCGGTCACTGCCTTTCAACGTCGATAGTAGTTCCATAGGATTTCATGTTCCAAGAAAGGCTGGGGCGTGGCCGCCATGTTGATGGAGACAGCATCTGGAGTCGGCAGGTTTCCACATTGTTAGATAATGCAGCCCTACCAATCGATACCTGTCTAGATCTGTGTACTTGCCTGATTCTGTTGCTTTTCCAGGGATGACGGTGTGTGCTTCGGATGCAAGTCTCGGGGCATGGACCTGAGATGTGGGCTTGGGCGCCGGCTTCAGGACCCGCTTCACGGGCGGCTTCTGGCGGTTGGAATTGGCCATCATCGTCGGCGACGACGGCGGCGTGCGTATGGAGTCGGGGAAGCTGTATGATGGATGCCCCCTTGGGAAAGAGAGAGAGAGAGAGAAGGGGGGAAAGGATGGCAATGACGTTGACGAAGGCAATTGATGCTTGATTGATGAAACCGCCTGCTCTATGGGTAAAGGGAAGAAGACGCCGGTCGGTCGCTCCTTCCGTCTCCAAGTATTCAGACTTGCACCGCACCTGCCCCACCAGAAGTTACACGACGCAGTAGTATATATAATATGTAGTGAGGCAACTACGGATAGCTCCTTCCGACTGTCATACTTGAGTCTGCGCAACGACTCGTACAATAATTTGCAATAAACGTGACATTCAGTGTGGTATTATTAGTCAGTAGTATGTTGGAGTATTATTATATGAGTGGTTTTGGCAGTGGGAATGTTGCGCAATTAATATACTACTACTACTACTACTACTAGTACCCAAGCTATCGAGCTTCGACATGGCGCGTGGTTTAGAGCAGACGGGGAATGCCGAGGTGTTGATTTTATCCGCGAGTACCCTATAGTCTCTAGGAGGAAGAAACACCGTACAAGGATGCGGCGCATAAAGCATCTGCACTCCTACCATGGGGGTTCTACATATACGAGTATTACAAGTGATGGTACGGTGTAGGATAACAACCCACTAATTAGTACGAGAGAAGAAGGAGAGAAAAGTGCACGCGAAAGACCACTGCTATTACGGAGTACGAATACGCAAGGCTTAATGAGAGTGGGACGACAGAGACCCAATTGATCAGCGACGCGGCCATACAGGTATGTCAATCCAACCAATGATCTTACGTGAACTCAGCCATGCGATCCACTTGTGTATGGTTTTTACAGACTCTGTGCATCGTTATTGGTGGGTATGAGGGCTACGTCTTTGGCGGACCAGTGAAGGTTTTCGACTCTAATAAATGCAGGAATTGACTCGACAGACAGGAAAGAGCGATGCAGCCCCGAGGAAGGTGCAGTAGTTAGTTATATTAATATAATATACTCGTATAGCCGGTGCTCACAGCTGATGCCTGTGGAAAGAAAGTACGAGTAGCACCAAAAATTGCAACACAGGCGGGGAGGAGTGAACGAACGGTGCACAAGTTACGGAGAAGAGGAGCCCCCCCCCCC